AGGAGTATTAACATTCACTTATGTAATTAGAGTTTACAAATGTACAAAACTTTTGGTAATAAACACTAAACTTATTTTTCAAACATTCAATAAGCCCATTCCCGCCAAACTATTTGATTACAAAGAAACACAAAGGGTCACTAACGGTGGCAAAACATAAGAAACAAGGCAGGGGAGGCAAACAGACATGAGAACATAGAATATCCAAAGTTTTATCAATATCAAAAGACAAAATCAAAACACCTTTTATAAAAGAAAACAAATCCATATACTTAAATACTAGTTAGGTGAAAGAACATTATAGGGTATATAACATTTATTTTCTCTACGTAAATTTGCATATCTTAAATTTAATGCAAAACACCATGTTTCAATTCCAATTTGAGAATATCATAACACGGAGTTCTTGGTGAATCTAGATGTAATCGGATGAATATTTAAATGGACCCCAAAGATCATATCGTTTTCTTTTCATCATTATTGATTTAACTCTTTAATGTTTTTCTTTATGCATTGCACTAAGTCAATTTTAGAAATAAAATCCACAACCAAAGCACATATAATGCAGCTATTTCTGAAAAAACTAAATAGCATAGTCTTTAGTATGTCATTAAAATAGTGGTTGTGGTTAAATAAACAAGCAAACAAATAAACAAAAATTACTGTAACTCATGTATGATAAAGTTACAAAGCAAAATGTTACAAGTTTTCTCTGGTGTATTTGCGCTGTAATAAAAGAAATCTGGATAATGTGAGTAAAATGTGCTTGATTATTAGGAAATGAAATTCCCAGTTAACACTAGGTTGAGTTTGAAAGTGCATTTGTCCTCATATTTTATATCAGGAATGTATGTTCACAATCCACCAGCTGTAGTTTTCATTTACTAGGAAATGTGAGTATTTAATCCTGGTTCATCCTCCCTTATTTTAACATCTTCTCTTTGAGATCAGGCACTTTGTGCCCAGGAATATGATAGTGCAAATTTCCTAAAAATGCATCCATTGATAGTAGAATAATTGTACTAAATTCATAAAGGAAGAGGATATCTTCATTTAGAAAACAGAGTACTAAATTATAATTTTACAGTCACAACGCAAGCCCCAGCTCTTCCTAGGCACAGTGGAGCAACCTAAAAAGAAACAAAAAGACATATCTGTTGGGTTTGTCGGTAAAAATGGTGATAATACCACGCCAGCTGGTGAAACACTGAAATAGTCTGCACTTGTTGGTAAAGAGCTGTGGCCGCGAGCCCCTGCTGTCCTAGCCTTACCGCTGGTCTGGTCTCATCCTCGAGACTCCCCTTCTGAGGTCAAAGTTTCATAGACTAAATTGTTCTGGATATATCGCATGATTACGTAGTATTCACTTCTACTTAAAGGGGATTTTTTTTAATGGTTCAGGAATTGGTCTACATGAAACACTATATTTTAGCCAAAATGATGCACAATAGGGATATGAGGAAACGCTGAATGCTTAAAGTAACTTTGTAACCAATATGGAGACAATATCAAGTATCATCTAGAGAGGGCCTGCAAAAGATGTGCTGTCTCAGGGACAGAACACACAACACACTGCGGGCCTATGATGTTGTTCCAGGGGAACCAGTAACTTTACATTTGTTGACTGCCTTCTCTGTGCATGGCTGAAAAGTCTAAATCCATTCTACTGCTTTTTAGCAGAGTAAATAAACATTAAATACCACCCATCTAACTCCCTACGAATGGAAACAAACCTGAGAATAAATTCTGTGACAGTGAGATAGAAGTGTGGGGTACTAGAGGAAGGCATATAATCTTAATTATAGATAAAAAATAATTCTTAACTGTTTTACTTATTGTCTTTTTTTTTTTTTTATGTACCCTAGACTCTGGGCAATTCATAGTGGAAATGAAAGTGTGGACAAGGATAGTTTTTAAAGAAGAACTACTTTGAGCACAGTAAGAATCTATGCATTTGGACCAGGAGAATTAAAACATTAGCATTTGGGGAGGGTGACTAATACAAAGTTACCAAGAGAGTTTGCTTTATAACTATGTATTTGGGGGTATGTAATAAAGTGTTTTTGTTGAATACATGATATCAAAATGACTTCCTAATCAGTTTGACCTCCCCACAGACCAATGAGTGGATTTTAAGAACACATCAGACTTCAATTAAAAGAGAATTCTCAGTTGTTCTCCATCTGAATCAGTTGTTTTGATCACTGTTATTTCTTCTTGAACAATTAACCTATTTTAAAACCATATCACTTACAGTATTCTAGGAGCTTACTCTAATACTTAATTACTAAGTCATTTAAATCAAAACGTCTGTTTGTAATTAGCAGCTTTTCTCAAAACAGCCAAGACACTAAGTCTCTACCTTGTGAATAGCTGATGTTTTCATGACAACCAGCTAGAAACTTTAGCTTAGAGAATTTATTGAATACAATGCAGTCACCTCCTGCTTTGGGTCAAGGTTGGTAATGGGGGTGGGTGGAGGCTTAAGACGTTGTAATCTCATTTCATTCCTTGTACAAATGTCCTCTCATCCATTTGTTGGAACATTGGAAAGGAAAACATTAATTTTCCAGATACTATGAGTTCACATTTAGGCGCCTTAAAATAGTAATAGAGGTGGCATGCGAACAAAATAGCTATATGGTTACAGTTATTAATGTTGATACCCAGTGACTCAGCATAAAGTATTAATTATCTGTAATAAGAAGTCTCAAATACTGGCCAATAGATTTCTTTATAACTAGCCTAAGGGCTCAAATCAAATACAACTCAGAAAAAGAGATTCTTCCCTTTTGGGCTCTTGGGTTATCATTCACAACTACTTCTGCCATGGGGGGAGGCTGATGGTAGAGAATCACATAACTTCTAATGAAATCCTGCTGCTTTAACTCTAGCTCTCAAATTACGCCTTCTTCCCTCCACCAAGAGATCTCACTTAATTAGGAAACAAGATCAAGGTCACACTAAAAGTCTCTTTTCCTATCCTCCTCATCACTTAAAAACTCCCTCTACCTTTCTACATGCATATTCTCATCTTTTCTTCCAAACTTGGGGGATGAGATCTTCCCTCCAGTCTGAGGAGGGCCTGTCTTTGCTCTCAAGTCTTGTTCCAGGAAAAGTGCTCTTCAATTTTGCTCTCTTTCTAGCATCTGGAATCTCCCTCTAATCTCTTGTTTTCATCTCTGTTGTGAAAAAAATCTTTGGCTCAAATTCTAACTCCCCCGTTTATTTGCTGTGTGACCTTGGATCAGCTATTTAACCTCTCTGTACTCAGATTCTTTATCCCATATAGTGGGGAAATAATAGTATTTACCTTCAAGTGCTGTTGGGAGGATTAAATAAGTTCTTTAAAGTGCTTAGCACAGAGCCTGGTACGTAAACTGTGCTCAGTAAATGTTAAATTTCTATCATCATTATTTTAAAATAGCACGCTCCTCCAGCTCCCACATTTACTTTTATTCTCTTTACTGTTTACACTGTGTGGTGGCTTCTGCTTCCATCACATTCTCAAAGGTCCTCACAACTTCATGAATAAAAACAATCTATCCAATCTTCCTTATACTGTTGAACTTCTCTCCTCTCTTTAATGGCTCTATTCCATTAGCTTCTAAGGCACTCTCAGATCATCCTTCGCTGTTTTCTTCGGAAGCTGCACCTCTCAATCCAACCCAGGAAGGGTAGAAAGAAGGAATAGACGGGACTTGGTCACTCTCCTGAATCCATCTACATAGTTGACACCTCAAGCCTCGCAACTGAAGCAATCTTCCAAATGTTGTCCATGTATCCAGCCTTCACTCCCCTTGCCTCTAACCCAGCTCAACCTGTCCCCAGCTGCTGCCACATGAACTTTCTACTACTCTGTCACTCTCTTGGCTAAAGTCTCCACTGGCTTCTCATGACTAAACTCCAGCCTGGGCTTCGCAGACCTCTATCCTGACCCCAACCTTCCTCTCCAGTGAGAACTCCTACTCTTCTCAAGCACGAATCCTTGTAACCAGCCACACTTCCTCAATACAGCCTGCGTATTTCCGCTTCAGTGACATTTCTCTTATGTTTTCTCACACAATTTCCCCTTTCTTTCTACCTTTTTGAATTGGATCACTTCATTAAGTCTTAGCTTAAATCCCTCTTCTTTCTCACTGAAGCCCTTTCAACAACCATTTTCTTTCTTTCTCTTTGATTTCCTACACCGCTCATTGCCTATCCCATGGGACACCTCACACCAGCTGCTCCACACTGTGGGTTCTCCCCTTACACAGGCAGACTCCACCTACCTAAGAAGTTAAGTTCAGTGGGGCTTCTCATAAGTTTTGTTTTCTTGACAGTACTTACCATTGCTTCTTGTAGGAAAACTTTGGCTCAATTAAACATTTGAGTGTCTTTTACGTACCAGATACTGAACTGAGGCACAAAATTCCTGATTCTGTTCTTGGTCATGATGGAAAGAAAGATCTCAAAAGACCATTCCTGCAAGTGCTAGGCCCTCCCAGAAACAGAAGTCGTTGGAATTTTTCCTGTTATTAAGCTTGCCAATAACAAGTTTCTTACTTGTTAATATAATTTAGTGTTGCCATCTTTATTAGGTTATGATCAGACATTTGATCTGCTCCCAAATATCAGTGGCTCAAGTATTTAAAAATGATTGGTCAACTATCTTTGTTTCTTATCTTCCACAATCTCTTCTCCTTTGTTACAGCCCTCTTTTGGTCTGCTCCTACAGCTCAATCAATATCTCATCAATTCCCAGCAAGAAAATGGTGGCAGACCAACTAATAATAATTTTTCTGTAATAATAACTTATACTTTAAAGACAATTTTGGATTTTAATTATATTATAAAATCAAACATTCCCTCGTCTTCTTATATTTAATTAAGAGATGACTTTATCATGTTTATGCTATATACTTTGATATAAGACAAAATCGAGAGGATCTGTTTTACCAACAGAATTGTTTTAAAAAAAACGGAGTAAGTGTAATAATGAAAATGAAATGCCATACCTGGGTCCACTCATTTGTCTGGGGATCATAAGCCTCCACTGTATTAAGGTAAGTCTGTCCATCATACCCTCCAACAGCATATAATTTATCACCAAGTAAGCAGACCCCCACTGCATCTCTGCTAATGCTCATCGATGCCACTGCAGTCCACATATCTGTTTTAGGATCATATCTGAAAGAAAATTTTAGAACTGGAGCTGACATTGTTTTCACAAAATTTTACATAAAAATAGTTTTGTTCTTTAAGCCTATCTTTTGTCTTATTATCTGCTATATAAAGCATATTTGAACATATTTTAGAGAAAAATATCAATATTTTCCTGAAAACTTTTAACTTATAATACAGATTCCCTTAAACTATTCAAAAGAGTTAACATAAATAATGAAAACTGTTTTAAGGTTTTAGATTGCCTACTTTTGAAAATTTGAGGAAATCAATGTGTGAACCTCTATGCAAGGCTTACAGCTTCAATCATTGTAGCTGTCTATTTTTGGACCTCTCGTTCCTTTCATAAAGTATGTTAACTAGAACTGCCCGAAGTTGTCTATCTAAGAGCAGATACATCATACTAAGATTATCTGTATTGCTTCTAACACCTCTTGTATCAATGAGCAAATTTCATTGGGTGCAGTACTACACTGAGCCTGTAATTCATGGGGCAAAGCGAATAAAGACTTCCATTTCCTTTCCTGGATTATAACAGGTAACAAGAATAATCAGAATTATTTTTTCCCCCAATACAGGTGAAATGCAGGTGTAACTTTCCTATTTTCTCCAAAAACACCAAGCAGTTCTGCTTATTATTTCCCAAAAAGCACTCACTGTCATCAACAAACTTTCATTTCACTTTTTCTTCTTCTTCTAGTCATTTATAATTGATTAAATAATACACACACACACACACTCATTAACTTCTCATTGCTCTTTAAGATCTGAAATCTTCAATAAGGCCTCAAGACTCTATAAGATCTGCCCCTACCTCCACCCCACTCCTCCTCCTTTCCTGCCACTCTCTCCATCACTCTTTGTTCTCCAGCTACAGAGGCTGCCTTTCAGCTTCCTGAATGCACATATTCCTTTCTGCCCTAGAGTGTTTAGAAATGCTCCTATTGACTCTCCCTCCTAAACCCATTCAATTTTCTCCATTCCTTGAATTAGATTGAACACAACACATGGGAGCCTAAAGTACTGTCCAAATCTTCCACCGAGGTTAGGCTCTTTACCTGCCCCATCCTTGAGTTTCTAAGGCCAGTTTGGATGGCTCATTTAAGCTTTCAAGCCTTCTTAGCCTTCTGTTTTATTTCATATTATTTCATTTATATAAAAATGTGTGAGAAATGTCCTCATCCTTTTCACTTCCTATTTAGCCTCTAGCTTCTAATTCATTCTCTCTGAAATTCATCAAACTCCCTTTCTTTTCTTATTAGGTACGGTGTCCAGTACAAAATAGGTACACAATAAATGTTGGTCATATGAGCCAATTAATGAATTATATAATCAATTCTAAGGTAAAGTTTAAGTAGGAAGTAATATGATGAGAGAAGAATCTGAGTAGGCTGTTAGGAGACAAACTGAGAAAGGGCCAGAACAGACAACCCAACATTTACAAAGCTCCTAAGGAACTGCCTCACATGCGGCAGATGCTCAGTAAAGAGTTCTTCCTTTGTCTGGAAGTGTCAGAGGCTTATATTTGTTCTTTGATTCCTAGTTTTCCTTCACAGGAAATTACCTCTCTACGCAGTCTGAGAGTCTAGAAGTCAGGTTGGATGCGGGAGCATCGTGTCCTCCGATAGCATACAGCAATCCATTCCAGGTGGTCACCCCTACTCCCCCTCTCCTTTTTGACATTTGTGCACAGAGCGTCCATTTGTTAGTATGAGGATCAAAACATTCTACTGATTTGAGACAAGAACTTCCATCACGACCACCAACTGCATAAAGTCTGTAAAAAGAACAAACAGAATGACAAATAAGAAACAGTGCTGTTATCATGCTTAAGACAAAGAGGTTATTCTTATGGTATTTCATTGAATTTAAGGTGCCATCAATTACAAGACACACTGTGAGTTTATGTGCCATTAAGAAAGATGTACTATCAATTAAATGACACATGTATGTATCATACATGTGTATACATCACATATCACTCTGTGTATACACAAAAAAGAAAACAAACTCACATAAAAGCAATGACAACTATTTCATAGCTGCCATCTGTTTGCCAATCAAGTCACCGTTGATTATAAGATGCATCACAATTTTAGAGATGTTAAAATGCGACTTAGGATAGGTAACATACGGTATATAAGTATACCATGACTTATTTCTTAAATAGCTAAGATAGGATTTGGCTATAAACGAAAGAAACAGCTTCTCTGAACACCTACCACAGTTTAGGAACTTTGCCTGAATTAATTTAATCATCATAATGATGCTATCAGAAACCATTTGCATCCCTATTTCACAGGTGAAGAAACTGGGGCTCAGGGATATTAAGGGAGTTGCATGGGGTCACCTGGCAAAAAGCAGAATTAGGACACGTAGTTATATTAATGAGCAGTTGTACCGTCAATAGTCAACTGGGATGTACTTGTAATAGTGAAATAGGAGAATAAAAGGATAGCTTGAAACAATGGTATATAAATTAAAAAGTATTGTATACAAACAGTGATCCTTCATTAAATTACTGCAGAAAAGGATACTGTAAGCTATCTCAAATAAATATGCTATGTTAATGTCCTAAATGGTGCCTAGCAGATCAATTTTAATTCATTATCAGTTAATATACTGCACTAATTTAAAAGTCTTTTACTCTGAACTTAAGATATAGATAAAATACTTTAAATATTTGAACATTTGAATATTTTTTACTAAGCACAAAATCTTCTTGTACTAACCATTCACTTGGGAAGCCCTTTATAGATGTTCTTCTATTAGATTTTTTAAAAGAGTAGTAATTCAGTTTATTGCTTGTACAAAAGGTCACACATTTTGAATTTATGCATGTCTTAGTTAATATTTAATTTTTTTTCAAGAAATAGTATTTGAACTATGCCAAATTCCTGCCCATTAAAACTCTAAGCATTTATATTTGGGTAAATATACATATTTTAAAGGTAGACTTCATAATTTCAATTCATAATTTCAAGTATACTATGCCACTCAAGTTGGTCCTTAAATAAGATGACCATGTCTTAAATAGCAACATACAGTTGTGGCAATATCTTGTTCTAAACTTAAACTTTACTAATAGTTTGGAAACTGAAATTTATTTGAAACTTCAATCTGCTAAAATTTTTTATCTGCTAAAAACCACTTTTTTGTGTTACAGTTCTTAATATTAAACTGTTCTCATCTTTAACTAATACTTGGTAGAATAATTATCTGAATACGGATCACAGAATATTAGAAGGCATCAACAACTAGAAAATATCAATAAAAATATACATGCTTACACACACAAACACATAGATACACACATAGACTCACACAGAATAGGCTTCAAGGTACCCTACCCTCTTCACAGTGAAATGAGGGTCTCTGCTGTGAAAAGTGGTGTAGGACAATAATTAAGAGCATGGACTCTGGAACCAGACTCTGTGGGTTTGAATCCTGGTTCCACCATTTACTGGTTTTGACTGTGGACACTTATTTAACCTCCACTGCCTGAATTTCATCATTCATAAAATCTGTAAGCCCTGCCTCATAGGATTATTAATGCTCAAACTTAACGTATGACTTCCAACAGTGCCTGACACATGGTAAACATGGTATAAGTGTTTAAGGGGAAAAATGAATTCTGTCTCTATTGTATTCTTTTAGAAAATGGCATTTTTAGATCTTAAGTATACAAACAACACTTAACTGAGATAATATTAAGGGCTAAAGTGTGCTGGTAACACTTTCTGAAGAATCATTTCTAAAGCAATGGTTTTTAAGCTGTATTCTAAGAATAGCATTCTGTGGAAGACTTGAGAGGGTCCCCAAAATAGTTCATTTGAAATTCAAGTTTTAATTTTCAAAAATATCACCTGGCTCAAATAAATGCCATGCAAGATTCAGAACTCATCTCTCTTTCCCATGACAATATCAATTACAATAAAGAGAGAAATATTATGTCAAATTGCCATAGTATCATACTATATATTTTAAAATAAGATTTAGGTTTTGCCTGACTTTTTAAAATTATGATAAAGAATGCAAAATGGTTGGTAGATATTATTTGAGATTCAACTTAGGAAAAAAAATTTCTACTACTTTCAAATTACTTGAGCAATTTAAGTGAAGAGTTTCCTGAGATTTCAATTAAATTGCTCTAGTAGTTAAAATAACTGTTACCGTTTTCAGCCTCTTTAATAAAGATTCTCTTCATACTGGGCAATCAAAACAAAACATACAAATAATCTGGGTGTTCTTTAAAAGAGACATTCTTCTACACTGATTTTTACAGTAAGAGTTATAAACTCAAACTTGTAGTAAATTTAAAATAAATTTATAATAACTTGAACTTCCATTTGCCTTAAGTACTGAAGTTTTTGTAAGACATCATTTGAAAGGGAGAGTCTACTGCCAAAAATATCTGCCAGCCAGTGGCTTTAAAGTAGCCTGAGCAATTGGAAGTCTAAATAAAGCATCTTTCTGTCAAACATGGTAGAAAAAAAATTTTAACACTTTGAATTTTTTTTTGTTTTGGGCAAGGGAAGATTCACCTTAAGCTGACATCTATTGCCAATCTTCCTCCTTTTTCCTTCTTTCCCCACTCCCCCTCAAAGCCTCAGTACATAGTTGTAGGGTCTACTGGTTCTTCTATGTGAGCTGCTGCCACAGCATGGCTACTGACAGATGAGTGGTGTGGTTCCGTGCCAGGGAAGTGAACCCGGGACGCTGAAGTGGAGTGCACCGAACTTTAACTACTAGGTCATTGGGGCTGGCTCAATACTTTGAAATTTTTAAGATATAGAATATAACTCATAAAACTTTGAAACAGTTCTTCCCTAAACAAATAACTATAACTTGCGCTAGGAAGCACTGTAAAATAAATTAAAATAACAAAAATAGTAGTTATTCCAGTCATTCATTTTATGGATTAAAAAAATTAAGGCACAAAGAAATGATGTGTTCTAAATCACAAAGGAGTAGTAGAGAGGAGATGCACAATTAATTTTTTTCAATCAACTGCATACTTTTTTTTTTTCAACTAACAACATAAATTCTATTTTTTCCAGATTCTGGATATGTACCTAAAAATGGAAACTGACAAAATATTTTGAAACATTGCTACTTTATTTTAAAGCAAGCTTAGAAAAATGCTGGTTGATGGATTAACACATCCTTTTCTTGGGATGATTAAAGTACCACTGCATCTGAGTGGTACCATGACATTCTTCAATAAGACTGCACACCTCAGATTATGTGCTGGCTACTGTGCTAGGTGTAAGGAACAAAAAGTTGGACCAGGCCACTCAAGACCATGATCTACTATAGGAGATGGATCAGCAAACAACTACAATAGGAGAGTGGTATATGCTGCAATACAATTACACACAAATGATGCATGGTGAAAATGCAGAGGATGGAATGAAGAATGAGTGTAGGGGAATGAGGAGATGGGAGTGGGGATTGGAGAAGGTTTTCCAGAGGTGATTTTTGAGCAAGTTTCAAGGATGTTGAGTTTACCACATAGGAAAGTGGAGGAAACAGCATTCTAAGACAGATGGTATGGGTTAAAAGATAACAGGAGTGTGAAACAAAATGAATTTTTCACAAACAGATTAGTTCTGCTGCAATGTAATATGCACAGGTAGAGGAGAGAGAAGAGTCTAGAAAGGTGGACAGACGCAAGTCATAAAGGAGGCTTGGTCAGGTAAGCTATTGAAAGATTTTAAGCAGGAAAGTGACATGGTCCTATTTGTATTTTAGGGAGAACATTAGGCTAGTCTCCAAAATGAAGGATGAAAGGGAGAGAGTTAAGGTTAGGGGCAAAGTGACCAGTTTGGGAGACAGGCCCCAAAGCGTCAGTTACGATCACAATGTTGATATATCATACTTTCAAAATCAAATGTCTTAATATTTAGTAGATAAGAGATCCTTAGCTTCTGATATGATTATTAGGTTGCCTCAGAATTATACTCAATAAACTGTACTTTAGGTAGATTAAAGACTGAAATATTTATTTCTCATTAGAGATAAGAAAAGATAAGAAAGTAAGATACTTCTATGGCCAGAAGTCCAGGCTACCATAGGTCTGGAAATCAGGTTTTAGAGAAGGCAGTTATTCTTTGGTCCTCTATTAGAAACACATATTTCTAGCCAAAAATAAGGGTTAGGAAATATGCCACCACACAAGAAATAGTCCAATGAACTAACCCCAAAAGCTTAAACCAAAGAGTAAAAACCACAAAAATGTGGTTTAATTTTCTTTTTTTTTTTCACTTACTGTATTCTTTGGTGGCTGACTCTCTACCAAAGAATTAGGAAAGATAGGTAGTAATGAATTTTACAGTTATTTCTTTAGCTAAAACAAATGAGGGGAGGAGTATGGAGATCAGATACATTTAAAAAGTGGGTCTCGATGCTCATCATCACTAATCATCAGGGAAATGCAAATCAAAACTACACTAAGATATCACCTTACACCTGTTAGAATGGCAAAATTATCCAAAACCAAGAGTGACAAATGTTGGAGAGGCTGTGGAGAAAAAGAAACCCTCATACACTGTTGGTGGGAATGCAAACTGGTGAGCCACTATGGAAAACAGTATGGTGATTTCTCAAAAAGTTAAAAATAGAAATACCTTATGACCCAGCCATCCCACTACTGGGTATCTATCCTAAGAACCTGAAATCAGCAATTACAAAAGTCCCATGCACCCCTATGTTCATCGCAGCATTATTCACAATAGCCAAGTCATGGAACCAACCTAAATGCCCAGCAACTGATGATTGGATAAAGAAGATATGGTGTGTGTATATATATATATATATATATATATATATATACACAATGGAATACTACTCAGCCATAAAAAAGGACAAAGTCGTCCCATTCACAACAACATGGATAGACCTTGAGGGTATTATGTTGAGTGAAATAAGCCAGACAGAGAAAGACGAACTCTGTATGACTCCACTCATAGGTGGTAATTAACATATAGACAAAGAGAACTGAGGGGTGGTTAACAGGGGAAAGGGGGGGTGGGGGGAGGGCACTAGGGGTGAAGTGGTGTACCTACAACATGACTAATAATGATGTACAACTGTAATTTCACAAGGTTGTTAACTATCATAATCTTAATAAAAAAAAAGTGGGTCTCTATTTCTCTATTTTATCACTTGTAATAATGCTAATAAATAACAAAAAGTAGGATGTAACTAAGAGGTCCTGGGGAAACAAATCTCAGGTCACAAAATATAAAAATTTTACTAATATTTTCTCATTAAAAAAATAATAACAATTCTACAAATAATTTTGAGTTTCTATAGTTTAAGCTTGATTCCTTCATCTTTCTGGAAATGATGATAAAGCACTTTAAGTGAGTAAAGGTATGCAACAAACAACTTTTATTTAATAAGCATATAGGCCTTCATTTTACGGAAGAAGGCCTGAAAAAGGTAGGTATTCAGTTTCTGAGTCACCAAGAGCTATTGGTGATGGTTTTACTCAAATCTGTTTACTCTATCTAGAGCAGGCAAGGGAAAGTGATAGTGCCTCTTTTAAATCCATCCCAGTTTTCAGCAGTTTACAGAGACAAGAAAGAAGTGCAAGCAAAGATAAATCAGTAGAAGAGATGGAAGGGATTCTTTAGGGAAACACTGAGAGAGACTATACTACTTTTAAAAGATCATATACTTTTAAAGCTATATAAACCACCAGATTTTTTTACCATATTGAATATTTACATAAAGTTTCTTCACTCAAAATGATAACTAGACATTTATAATATCTGTACATTAGAATGAAAGCCTAACTTAATGTTGAGCTATTTACAGTTAGAACTATTATATAAAGGGATTATTTTAGAAGTGTCTTTATATTGCTCAAAGTATTTCTCTTTCATGATTTATTTATGTCTATCTTTAAGTTAGATGTGATACAGCTTAATAAATTCAGTTTATTGTGTTTTAAATGGAACTTTAAATATTTTCTTACTTTCCACTTAGTACTGCCACACCTACTGTGCTCCTCGGGGTGGACATGGTGGCAACGAAATTCCACTGGCGAGCCTGAGGGTCCCATCTTTCCACCGTATTCAGATAGCTCCAGCCGTCATGCCCTCCTACTGCATACATGGGACCTTCCAATACGGCCACACCTACAGGGAGACGGGAAAGAAGTAATGACTTAAAAATCACATTTTAATTGAAAAATAAGTACAATGAATCTTAAATATGCAAATTTTCTAAGCAAAAATTTATGATATAGACATCTGGCTTCCTCACAGCTCTTCTTGGTAGGCAGGTTGGGGAGTGAAGGGGAGAAATAGTGCTGTAGCTCTGGTCTTAAAAGTTTTAGAGGCAGTATTTTGACATCCAACAGTAGAAAGTTATTGAAAACTACACAAGATGCACATATTGCCATATTTAAAACATCTTTCAATAATACGAAGTTAGGAGATATTTGAAAAAGCATTTTTATTCCTTTCCCCCTATTAATTCACATTCATGAGATTTTACTATAGGAGTTAGATTTGCTCCATAATCTATGAGATTCATCACCAGGGATCGGAGCCAGATTAATTTGTTCATTTATTCAACAAACATCTATTGAGTTTCTACTAAGAGCCATGCACTTAATAGAACATAACAGATAAGGGCTCTGCCCCCATGGATGTAATATTTTAGTCAGGAAACAGACACAAAATATATTTCAGGTATTGATAAGTTCTAATAAGAAAAATGCAACAGAATAAAAGGGTAGAGAGGATCAGGGAAGACATTTCTGATAAGGTGACATTTGAGCAAAAAAAAGGTGAATGAAGCTAGGAAACCAGACATGGAGATATCTGAGGGAAGAGAAGGTGAGGTAAGGAACAGTATGTACAAAGGCCCTGAGGCATGCTTAATTTGTCTTTGGTACAGCAAGGAGGCCAGTTTGGTTGAGCAGGGTGAGTGAAGGGGAGATGAAGGAGCGTGTGAAGCCAGATCATGCAGGGTGGTCAAGTGTATTGTAAGGACTTGGTATTTTATTCCAAATGAGATGGAGAGCCAGTAGAGGGTTTTTAGAAGAGGTGCGACATGATCATAGTCAGACAAAATACAAATATGTATTACTTGAGGGCCAAAGTACAAATTTTGTGATACAAATATATTTTAATTTGTGAAATCACGGCCAGATGAGATATAAATATTCATCATTCACATATGACCCAAACCAACATATCATTCCACTCAGTATTGGATATTGGATAACACACACACACACACACACCCACACACATTTATCTATAGCTCCAATTATATATAGTATATATTCAATTATGTGTGTGTGCATATGTATGTGTGTAATTAGGGAGAAGGCTGGAAGAAAAATTGAATCCATCTAGTTCAACTCCTTAAACAATAGCTTTGAAAAGAAATTTTAGCAGCAAAACCACTTTTTCAAATGAAATCTATATATAATTCTCACATATAAAGAGATAAAAGGAGTGTTTCTTCAGTAAAAATTTTTTATAAGCTCAAATTTATAACATTCATTATAAGGTAAATTAGTAAGAAAAAGGGTGTTTTGAATGACACAAACATTTGAAATAAAAACTGAACTTGAACTATATGATCATTCTCCTTTGAACTTGCCGCAGTTCAATAAAGTCTTTTGTGTGGTGCCGAGAACTAATGATAGTGTTCCCTGCACAATCGAATCTGCACAAAACATCGCTGAATCATGGGCATTCTCATTCTATGTACTATATCTATAAGAATGTACCTTAAGTTAGAATTAAGTTTCTTTTCCCCATGGTGGGAGGAAGTATGCAGTTGGATCACACTATGGACCCTGGGTTTTAGGGTCAACCCCAATTTATAAGTCTTTCTCATGCTGCTGTTAAGAGATGTCTTCCTATTCTGTGCTGATGTAAGAGTTAATTTTACAAACTCAAGAGTAATGTTTTACTGTTTTCTTTGTTAAATTTCATATAGTTAATATTAAGCTCCTCTCTCAGTCCCTTAGCCCTAACCCTCTGGTTATACTTTCTTACCAAACTTGACATTTAAGATCATCTTTCATTGAAACCTAAATGTAACTAGTAGAATCTCTTGTCTCTTGGATCTTTTGCTGTACCCACTACCACATTAATCTTTATGCCCAGATAATTTTCCTTACTGGCTACTGGCTTTTTGGGGCAGCCAGCCAGCATTCTGGTGCACAGTATTAATAAATCGAGTATAGTGCAGAGCTATGCTATCTAAACTTAACTATCCTCTCTGCTACTCATCCATCTTTTAGTTTGACAACCTATCAAATTCTTTACTGAAACTATTTTGAACCTTTTCCAAACTGTGATAAATTCACAAGACACTCACAAATTCTTCCTATACCTGAATGCATGCCCATTTTCAGCGTGACACTGTAGCTCCTCCCATCAAGAGGAGGAGTCTTTTTCTGTACTCTTTGAATCTGGGCTTGCCCATGTGACTTATTTTGGCCAGTGGGACATTAGCAAACATGATGCGACCAGAAGTTTGAAGTGTTGGTACACTGGGGCTGCCCTCTCTTGCTGCTTTTGAAACTCGGTGACTGCCACTATGTGAAGAAGCCTGGGCTAGCCTGCTGAACGATTAGAGGCATTTGGCCCAGCTGCCTCTGTTGCCCAGGCCAACACCTGCTCACCACCACACATGTGAATGAGACCATCCCACATCACCCAGCCAACCTGCCAGCCCACCAAAGATTTGTGAGAAAACCAGCAGAAATCATCTCAGGCAGCTCAGACCAGAACAATCCAGATGAGCCACAGATCCATGAGCTAAATAAATGGTTGTTGTTTTAAGCCTCTAAGTTTTGGAGTGGTTGGTTATGTAGCAAAAGCTGGGTGATACAGAAACATTTCAAGCCCCATCTAATTTTAATTCCACTTCCTTCACTCTCATCAAACAATTCTTTCTATTTCACTTATTCTTTCTCCTATGAGAAAAGAGAGGTCATCTGATCAAGATCCCTAAATTCTCTCCTCTCAGAGTGAGCCGTCAGTTCCTTAAAGGTAAATATAGTGTCTTCCTCATCTTTGTATACCTACAGAGCAAAGAGCATGGCACCGAGTATGTGCTAATCAATGTCTGCTCAGCAAATCATTGAATGAAAGAAAGAAAAGTCTATTTTTCAGGAATATCAGGACATTCTCTGTGCCACTTCAAAGTTTTTCTGGGTTTTTACTCATTTCTGCTTGAAAACCAGGAGATATAGATGAAAAACAATAATGCTAAAGATTTTTAAATAAGCATTTCAGTTAGGTTAGATACCATTAATTGTCAACACAAAACACATATTTAAAAAGGTGGTTTGTCAGTCCATCACGCTACACTAAAATCCTTAAATATCCATGTTTTTACTTGCGCTGGTTGCTGCCACCTTTATGTATACACTTATTTTCTCTGCTTCCACTTGTCAGTTAACAAGGAGCATGTGAAGGAATGTTTGGTGACTGACTGTTGCTGACTCAGCAGCTGCCACACTAGTCTTCTGCCTCGTACAGAATGTAAGAATGCTGTGGAAGCCTAATATATAATATTAGGAGCGAATCTGCACAGTTATACTCACCAAGGCCATGCCTGTGTGTGGACATAGGAGGCATTACACTCCAAGTTTTTGTTTTGGGGTTGTAGCATTCTACAGTGTTCAAAGTCTTCAGCCCGTCTCTTCCTCCAACCACATACAGTTTGTCATCTAACACTGCAACACCAAACTGCAGCCTCCTCCCATTCATATTTGCTACAGGAGTCCACATATTTGTACGAAGATCATACTTTTCAATGCTTGTTGCTCCTTAATAGTAATATATAGAAGTTATACAAATAAAAATTTCACCATGATTAATTTGTGAAATTATACATACAAAAGTATAATTTTATTTGCATTGAGAATAATACTTTTATTATATTCCAATAAGCCCTTGCATGATCTGGGCCCTGCTTATATCCCTGACCTCATCTGGCATACACCAGGATCTAGTATTAAAAGGTCAAGTGAGGAAAAAAAAAAGGTCAAGTGAGAAAGGATTTTCTGTCAAAGGAGGCTGAGAAGCAACAGCCAGAAGTGGGAGGAAAAGCAAGGTAGTTCAGTGTCATAGAAGCCAGAGGAAAAATTTTATAGCAGGTAGGACTACTAACAGTATCAAATGCTACTGAGAAGATCAAGTAAGATGAAGACTAAAAAGCATTACTGGATTTCGCTACATGGAGGTCATTGATGACTTTAGGGAGAATTCCCTTGTTTGAACGATTGAGACAGGATTGGGAGGTGAGGAAATGGAGATAGTGAGCATAGATAATTCTTCTGAGAAGTTTGGCTATAAAAGGGGAAGAGATAGGAATTACTAGGTGAGTTGAGGGAGGTCGCGTTTTGCTTTGCTTTAAAATTGCAAAAACTTAAGTTTGCTTAAATGTTAATGGGAAAGATCTAATTTTGAGGAAAGAAGCTGAAAATAGGTGTCGGCCCTGTGGTCAAGTGGTTAAGTTCACGAGCTCTTCTTTCGCGGCTCGGGGTTCACTGGTTTGGAGCCTGGGCGCGGAACTATGCACTGCTCATCAAGCCATGCTGTGGCAGCGTCCCACATAGAGGAACTAGAATGGCTTACAACTAGGATAACAACTATGTACTGGGGCTTTGGGGAGAAAAAAAAAAGGGAGCTGAAAATACAGGAGATGAAGGGACCCTAATTAAAAGTGTGCGGCTCTGGAGGAGGCGGAAAAGGGCAGAAGCAGAGCACAGGCGAGGGGCTGGATTTTACGGGAGGAGAGAGGGGTACATACATGTTCTATTGCAACCAGGACAAGAGCATAAGTGTGGACCATGTGCTTTGGCAACTATGAATGTAGGAAGTTTAGGAGTAACTGCCTGATGGTGTCTACATCTTTTTAAGAATTGGAAGATTCAAGGAACTCTTTTGTTCTCTTTATGAGATGAGACCAGTGGACTTAGGAAAAAAAAAAGCTCCACCTCTCTAAAAGAACCCCAGAAAACCAACCCAACCCCTCAGTTATTAAGAGTTGAATTAGTGTCTCCTTTATCTCTGTCTTCTAAGCTTCTAATACAACATGCAGTCAGAGCTATTCTTAAAGACTTAAAATTAGGACAAACATTTATTCTAAAGTATTTGTTACAGTTAGGTCATCACAGCACTAAATACTAGTGTTAATCTCCTAAATTTGAGAAATAGTTTGTTATAGATATAGAATATTATATTTTCTCATATATTATAGTTTTTATTATTTATTCACCCTACAAAAATTTTAAGTTATCTGGGATAAATACCAAGTCTTTTTCCTTCTCTGTATTCTACAGCATCATAAATAGACTCCCTCGTACATAGTAGCTGTTCAAAAATATTTTTGAATTTGAATAATCTTTCTTTATAATTTTTATAATGAGATTTTACTCATATTCAGATTATTTTATGTAATAGTATACTTGATTCATCACTCTAAATTTGATTTTAAAAACTTCTTCCTTCCTCAAATAAAAAGGCAATGCTAATCATCTCTCCTCTCTAATGAATCTAAGGAATATTCTTTTCATTTGAATTTTAAATTATTTCTTTTAGATCTAGTGCACTAAGCAGTATCATAATCTTATGAATTGGTAACTAAAAATTATTTTGTTAATATCAAACGTAATTCTTAAAACATAAAATGTTAAAACATAGTCTGAAACATATATCTTAAAAAAAAATCCAAAAATAACAAAATCCTAATAATTGCAAAATTCTATGTAAAAGCTTGGAACTTCCCTAATTTATACTGAAGGATTTAACCTTTAAAAAAAGTAAGCACAGGGGCTAGCCTGGTGGCACAGTGGTTAAATTCATGTGCTCTGCTTCAGCAGCCTGGAGTTTGCGGGTTTGGATCCTGGATGTGGACCTACACACCGCTCATCAAGCCATGCTGTGGCGGTGTCCCACATATAAAATAGAGGAAGACTGGCACAGACATTAGCTCAGTGACAATTTTCCCCAAGCAAAAAGAGAAAGATTGGCAATAGATATTAGCTCAAGGCCAATCTTCCTTACCAAGAAAAAAAAAGTAAGCATGAATAAATTCCAACATTTTCTTAGTGACTGTTTAGAACCATTACCAGTGTATTTGTTGGGCTGTATACTAAATGCATATATGAAGGGACCAAGAACCAATGATCAGATTACCATCCAACTAATGCAAATTACTCTTCATTATTAAAGACATTGGGAATAAGATAAGTTAAGGCCTGGGAAGATAGCTTGAATAGATAGAAAGTCAGAGTAGTATTAAGAAAGACTCAGAAATAACGTTGGTCAAGCCACAAAGGCCAGATTACAGAAAGTCTTGAAACCTAGAAAGAGGAATTTACTTCTTATGTGGTAAGGAGTAAAGATTGCTGGAGTTTTTGAGCAGAGTAATGGCACTTTAAAAGAAGAGCTAACAGAGCAGAGAGTATAGTCTCCAGAGTCAAAATGCCTGTTTGAATCCTGATTCTATCATTAATTAGTTGTGTGATCGTGGGAAAGCTACTTCTCTACGTCTCAGCATCCTCATGTATAAAAAAGGGAAATAATAACCATCAGCTCTGAGAGTTGTTATGAAGATGAAATGAAATAATATAGGTCAAGTGTTTAGCATAATTCCTGGCACATATTAAAAACATAATTAATGCTATTCCCACTAAGTTAACCTGTCAAAATATGTGAGCTGATAGGAGGCTAACAGGAATTAGAAAGATAGCAATGGAAATTTGGAAGAATAAGACCTTTGTGAAAGAAGTCACTTGGTGACTGTCAGAATTTAAGGTCTGAAAGAGATAGAGAGAGAAACAGAGAGAAACAGACAGTAGCCATGTATTGTTTACTGGGTACTTAGCGTCTGAGTTCCTTTCTCAGGCTTGGGCAATTTTCCATTGTATGTATATGAGCCTCGATGAGATGCAGGAACCCATCTCCCAGAAAGCTGAAAAGACAGATATTTATCCTCTTTGTTCTGGAAATTTAGGGCCCAGGGTCCAGGAGTGACCCAAAGCTAGTCAAATGGATACTTGCACCTAGGATTTAAAATCAAAAGCAGGAATTATAAAGAAGCTGGGACAGTGGACATAGCTCCTGCCCATTTCTCAATAGCCTTCTCATAAATTCCTTATCTGCTTATGTGAGCCAGAGCTGTCCACTGAAGAACACTGAATTCCAGTTCCAAGTCCTCAAGTCTGGGAGACAAGGGCAGAGAAGATTCAGACACATGAAGCTTGAGGTGAAAGCTCAACATCAAATAGAGATTTTATACAAGTTGGAAATATGGAAAGAAAATCAAAGTGAGACAGTATAATTAATACAGAGATAACAGTAAAAGCTTTGCAAAGCAGAGGAAAAGAAAGAGAGGAAGAAGTGCTAGTAACGACTACAAAGCCAAGCAGCAGTTCCAGGCACTTGGTAGATACTTAGTAAGTATTTGCAGATTGATTATATGGACCGTGGAGATCTCCAAAAGTTTTCAAATATTTATACTATAACTTTAATCAGTTATCTTACTTTATGTATTTCTGTACCACTCAGTCATTAAGCCTATATTTAGAACTTAAGCCCTATGTTATATGGGATACTATCCATCAATATCTATATCTGTATCTATATCTTTGTTTCAATGAAACTAAAAGTTAAATAACAATACAAGATTTTCAACTAGAGCTGGTATTTTTATATTCCTTAGAGATGTCATATAGAAGAGATGCCTTTAGATGTGATTAATGCATCAAGTGCTTGTGTCATACAAGCAATTCAAGAGAGGCAGAGGACAATCTTCATTCACTTGACAAATGATGCTGTTTATGTGCAAGACACTGTTTTAGGCTCTTGGAATATATTAGCGAACAAAACAAAATCCTTGCTTTCCTGGAGCTTATTCTGGGGGAAGAGGTAGACAGACATAAACAAATGTATCAGGTGCTATGAAGAACTATGAAGCGGAGTAAGGAGAGAGAAAGAGGTAAGCAAAAGATTAGAAAGTGATGGGCAAGAGGTTGCTACTGAATGGTTATGGAAGTCCTCTGTGATAAACTGACATTTGAAAGGAGATCTGAGGGAACAATTTCTGCTACGCATTCTGGTAACAGGGAGCAAAGCATTCCAGTGACAGGGAACAACTAATACAATATCCCTGACGTGGGAGAATGTTTGGCATGTTAAATGAATGAGGAAGTCAATGGGGCTGGAACAGAAGGCATGAGGGGAGAAGTAGATGAGCTGAGACCAGAGAGGTAGCCACAAGTCAGAGAGGTATCGTCAAGGAATTGCAGACTATTAGTTCTGGGAATTCAGAGGAAGGAGCGATCAATGTATACTTACAATTAATACGCAGAAAGCTTCTAGCACAATACCTGGCATCTAGTAGGTACTATATGGTGTTTGATGCTATTATTGTTACTATTCTAACAACTGTTGCAAGAATGGTACAAAGAATTCCCCAGGGCCCCCCGGTCCCCATCCCCGTGGCCAAGTGGTTAAGTTGGTGCGCTCCACTTAGGCGGCTCAGGGTTTCCATGGTTCAGATCCTGGCCATGGACCTAGCACTGCTCATCAAGCCAGGCTGAGGCAGTGTTCCACATACCAGAACTAGAAAGACATACAACTAGAATATACAACTATGTACTGGGGGACTTTGGGCAGGGGAAAAAAAAAAAAAAAAAAGAGGAAGATTGGCAACAGATGTTAGCTCAGGGCCAATCTTAAAAAAAAAAACAACCAGAATTCCCCAGTACCCTTGACCCAGATTTCCCAAATGTGTATGTTTTACTACATTTGCTTTCTATGTATGTATGTATGAATTTTCTTCCGAACTGTTTAAGAGTAAGCTGCAGAAGTGATGTCCCTGTATCCCTAAATACTTCAGTGTATCTTTCTCAAAACAAGGAATTCTCTTACAAAACTATAATACAATCATCAAAATCTGGAAATTACATTTATACAATGCTGTTATCTAATCTACAGACTTTACTTGGATTTTGTCATTTGTCTCAATTATGTCTTTTATAGCAAAAGAAAATCCAGATGATACATTATAACAGCTGTCATGTCTCTTTAGTCTCCTGTAATCTGAAACAATTCCTAACTCTTGTTTGTGTTTCTTGACATTGACATTTTAGAATACTACAGACAAGTCATTTAGTAGAATGTCTCTCAGCTTGGATTTGTTTGTCTTTTCCTCATGAATAAATTCAGAATATACACTTTTAGCAAGAATACCACAGACGTGCAGCTGAGTTCCTCTCGGTGCATCATATAAGAGGCACATGCTGCTGGTTGGTTTCATTATTGGCAAGGTTATCTTTGATTATTTGATTAAGGTGCTGTGGGCCAAATTTCTCCACCTAAAAGATACTATTTCACCCTTTGTAACTAAGAAGCAAGTGGTTGGGAGCTACTTTGAGGCTAAATATCCTGTTCTCAAACTTTCATCCTCTAATTGCAGCATCTATTGATGATTCCTGACTGAATTAGTTATTATTATGATGGTTGCCAAATGGTAATTTCTCTAATCCCATCTTTGCTTATGTATTTATCAGTTGGCATTCTACTGTAAGGAAGAGCTTTCCCTTCTCCCTTCGATATTTGTATCAGTTTGGACTCATGTATAGTTATTGATTTTATAGGTTATAATCTTTTACTATTATTAATTTTGATGCTGACATTATCCCAGATTTGGACAGTGGTAGCCCTTACAAACTGCCTCCTGTCTCCCTTGACCTGTCTCTGTCATTCTTTGAGCGTTTCCCTACTTTCTGGCACTAGAAGATGTTCTAGGCTTATCTTATGCTTTTCCTACCCAGTTCTGGAACCAAACATTTCTCCAAAGAGCTCTTTGATTATGTATATTACTAATTAAAATTTCTTTTTTTTCTGTTCCCCCAAAATAAAAGATTATTTAATACCTTTTGTTGAATCCATTCCTCCAACTGCAAATAATGTACCAACAGTTGACTTCCTTGGTTTTGTCCTAGGACTTTGTAACATGGGTCGTCTCTCTGGTAATAAATGATACTTCATTGCTTCCATAATAAGTTTCTGACATTCTATATCATCCCGAAAAAGTGCATTATTTTCCATGTCAGCCAGGAACTAGAAAAGAATAGTGAGTATGTACACTGAATGACTAAGAAAAGTAGTAAGTTCACAAATGGAAATGATATGTAAAAGAAAATCCAAGTCTGGACACCTATTTTTAACTAAAATATAAGATTTATATTTTAAATTTCATTGAAAAACAAAAACTGAGGATAAGTGGTATGCTCTAAAATCTTAATAGTGCTTATCTCTAGGTAGTGGGGAAAGGTGCTTGTTTTTTTCCTGGGAAAGATTCGCCCAGTTAAAATCTGTTGCCAATACTTTTCTCTTTTTTTCCCCCTCCCCAAAGCCCCAGTACATAGTTGTATTCTAGTTGTAAGTCCTTCTGGTTCTTCTATGTAAGCCACTGCCACAGCATGGCTATTGACAGATGAGTGGTGTGGTTTTGCACCCGGGAACCAAGCCTGGGCTGCTGAAGTGGAGTGCGCTGAACTTTAACCACCAGGCCATCAGGGCTGGCTCAAAATATGCTTTTTTAATAATCTTTTTTTTACTACTTTTTTATATTTTCCAGATTTTCTAAAATAAATCCTTTTACTTTTTAAATTAGAAATAATTTTAACTGAAGAAGAATAATTATGAGGAGTTGACTAATTATACTGCATTTACCTGACCTCTCCAAACTGCTCAAACAACAGCAAAAACAAAACTGACCAATTTCTTAAGGGGCAAAGAACTCTAAATGGTGATTATTCTAAAAGAATTAAAATCCCTTGTGCTTCACTGAATCCTATTTTACTTATGTAATTTTATATAAATGCATAAATATAGTTACACCCTACTGTTTAAAAAATACATTTCTCTTCCTTTTGTGCTTGCTTCTCCATCCTCCTCCCTACTCCTTTATTGCTGTAATTTCTTTCATTTAGGTTAAGGATCCATGTGAAATTAATTTTTAAACAGAGTATAAGTTGAAGAATACTTTCATTTTCTTCCAGATGGATAGCCAGTTCTGTACCCAAATCATTTATTAAATAATCCCCTTCATTTCCAACTGAAATGAACCTTGGTCATATATTACATTTTCATAAGTAGATCTCAGGATATATGGATCTGTTTTTTGATTCTTTATTCTGTTCTGTTGATCTGTCAACTCCTATTCTAATACCACATTTTACTACAGTGTCTTTATAGCATATTCTGATTATCTGATACAAATCTACCCTCACTTTTCATTTTCATAGTTTTCTTGGCTAATTTTGAATATTTACTTTTCATATAAACTTAAGATAAATTTACCTAATTCCCCTTCACCACCTTGATCCCCTTGTTACTCTAATAGGAACTACATTAAATTTATTTATTAATTTGGGGAGAATTTACATTTTTATGATATTAAGTCTTTCTGTCCAAGAAGCCTTTCCATTTGTTGTACAGCTTTCTTCATATAGGTCTTATGTCTTTCTTTTATTAAATATATTCCTACAGATTTTATTATTTTTATTGCTATTGGCAACGGATTTTTAAATTTCCATTTTGCATATGTTTTGCTGGAGGAGAGAAAAATTTGCTTATACTTGAATTATAACCTACCACTTTACCACATTCCCTTATAAAACTCTAGCTGTTAGGGATACAATCATAATAATCCCCAAATATGGATAGTTGACATCTTTTTTCTAATATGTATGCCAATTATTTCATTTTCATTTTATTATTGCAATTGCCAAAACTTTCAAAGCTAAGTGAAATAATTAGAGTGATACAGAGCATCTGTGTTTCTGGTCTGACTCGACAGTTTTAGTGCTTCACTATTTAGGATAACAGTTGCTGGAGCATTTAGTAATCCATCTTTACTATATTTAGGTTGTGTCCTTCTCTCCCTATTTTATTTTAGAGTTTTAAAATTAAGAATGGTTCTAATTTTTTCCCAAATACCCTTTATACATCTATTGAATATGGTCATATGGTCTTTTCTCCTTTAAGTTACTGATATTATAATTACCTTGATAGATTTCCTGATACTCAACCATTCTCATATTCCTCGAAAAAGACCTTCATGGTGATAGTGTATTATCCTTTTGATACACTGCAGAATTGTATTTGATAATATAAGGTATACTTTATATATCATATAACTCACTATTTCAAGTACACAATTCAATGTTTTTTTAGTAAATTTACCAAGTTGTGCAACCATTTAGTAAATTTACCAAGTTGTGCAAACAGTTCCCAAAGTGTTTACCATAAAACAGTTTGGGAACATTTTCATCACCCCACTTAGATCCCACATACCTGTTTACTGTTCATCTCTGTTCCCATTTCCTCTCCCAAGTGCTAATCTGTTTCTGTAGATTTGCCTGTTATTAAATATTTCATATAAATGGAATCACACAGTATGTGGTCTCTTGTGTCTTGTTTTTTCATTTAGCATGTTTTTGAGGTTCATCCATGTGTAGCATGTTTCAGTACTTCATTTCTTTTTATTGTTGAATAATATTCCACTGTATGGATCTACCACATTTTGCCTATCCATTTACCAGTTGATGGACACTTAGATTGTTTCCAGTTTTTGGCTATTACGAATAAAGCTGCTAAGAACATTTGTGTGCAAATATTTATGTGGATATATGTTTTCATTTCTCTTGGGTAGATACCTAACAGTAGAACTGTTGGTCATACAGTAAATTTACATTAAGTTTTTAAGAAACTGCCAAACATTTTTACAAAGTGGCTGTACCATTTTACATTCCCACAACCAATATATGAGTGTTCCTGTTTCTCCACATTCTCACCAACAATTGTTACTATCTCCTTTTATTTTAGGTACTTGAGTGGGCAATAAGTGTGGTTTTACTCTGCATTTCCTTGATGACTAATAATGTTGAGAAAATATTCATATTTTGATAATGGAAGAGAAAGAAGAGTCTCTAACAAAAGTCACTGCAAAAGTTTGTGACATTTGGAAACCAAGAACAGCATGCCAAAGGCAAGAAAGCTAAATTAAGACATAAGTCTCAGGATCTATGCCAGAGTGTAAATTCTGGTATTAATTATTCCATATTTTTTCTATGTGCACAAAATATAGTTATACTTGCTATAGAAACCATTAATGAATATGCATTGAGTTGGCTCATTTAGATTAATCTTAATGTTTATATTACTACTGTTATATATAATTAGTTTTTTCCAAATAAAAATAAATGTGAAAAAAATTGTAGAAAGTAAAGTCTTGGGAGACAATAGTTACTGCAATTTGAAGTAAAATATATTTCTTATCATGTTGACAGTCTCTATAATTTATGAATAAATGGGATTAATTATATTTAAGTAGAGAGATGAAAGTAATAAAAGAAAACATGAAGCCATTAATTCAAGTATCAGATTAATCAAATGGAAAGTACCAGACATAATTTGGAAAATCATTCAAAAGGCACTGAAAGAAGTACAAAATACAGACTCTTGTATACTCTGCATTTTAAGTGAATACTATGTGTCTTCTCTGCCATAAAAAAGGGAAAATTATTAAAATGAAAGCATTTAGAAAATAGAAGAAACATTTTCAATTTGTAAATTTTTATCTTCACTCACATACTTGTTCACCATATGACTATTTCTCTAAAGCTGTACCCCCAAATACGACTTAAAGGAAAAAGCATAATGTGAATGATTTATGAATTCTATAGGCTTTAAAAAATGTTTTAGTATCAAAAACTTGTAAGTTAAAAGAATGCTAAAGGTAAATCCTGACTCTTTTAATATTTATTACCTTTAGTAGAAAACAATAACGAGGATTGAGAACAGAATAGTGAAGACCAAGATACTTGTAACACAGGCTAACCGTTAGTGACATTAAAAATTTAGGTGTCAAAATCTTTTAAATAATGTATATATGTCCTGCTATTTCTATCCACATTGCTTAATATTTGATCAAATGGAAAAATTTGGAACGCTTTCAAAGGTAAAATAAAATGACCACAAATACTTGCCTTCTGGATTATTCAGAGTTTAAAAAAAAAAAGCTACACTAAAATGATCATTTGGTAGAGTATTACAATTATATATATTATTTCCTACATTTTGTGGGAGACACTACAATAAAATTACCATATGGAAGTTGAACCTCTTCTAGTTAGGCTAACTAGAATGTTTCATATTAACAGAGTAGGGTAAAACCTCACTGAGAAAGGAACTAGTTCACAAAAGTAAATTCTCTAGGTAATTGGACCCATTCGCAATTTTTAATATTACTCATTTATAATTTGACAATTAAATAATTATATTTTCCTATCTTAAAATTTTTTTAATTGAGATAAAATTGACATATACTAGCTTCAGGTGTACAACATAATGATTCGATATATGTATATATTGTGAAATGATCACCACAATAAGTCTACTTAACATCCAACACCACATAGTTACAATTTTTTTCTTGCAATGAGAACTTTTAAGATCTACTCTCCTCTCAACCTTCAAATATACAATACAGTGCTATCAACTATAGCCACCATGCTGTGCATTACATCCCCAGGACTTATTTATTTTATAACTGGTTGTATCTTTTGAACCCCTTCACCCATTTCACCCACCCTGAAGCCCCCTTATCCTATTTTTTAAAATAAAACATTCAGAATACAATCCAATATTTTCTTGATGATTTTGGAGTCTACCTCAAAACTTTGTCACTGGGTAACTCTAATTCTGCAAACTTGTCCTTCACTTTTTAGCAAGGAAAAAAACCCCTGTAGTATCTCTAAATGTTGCAACAGTGCAACAGAGTATTATCATTGTAGAAAAGAAAAAAGAGAAAAAATTGCTCAGAGTGATGAAGCAAATAGTTTAAATTATACAGGGCAATGTGGCTTCCCTCACCGCTACTCATCGGGCTAAGGCAGTGGTTCTCAAACTTGGTGTGCATCAGATCTGCCTGAGGGCTTAAGAAAATATAACTTGCTAGGCTCCACCCCCAGAGTTTCAGACTCAGTAGGTGTAGAGTGGGGTCTAATAAGATTCATTTTGAACAAGTGAAGTGGTGCTAATCCTACAATTGGGGATCACACTTTGAAAAACACTGGACTAATCGAGTGGATTTTCTGTCCTTATCTTATTTGTCTTCTCTGTAGCATCTGACGATGTTTAAATTCCTCCATCTTAAACTTGAAGTCTCTTTTTAATACCACTCCAATTATTTAGGTAGGTTTGGGAACTACCACTAAATATTAGTATTTCTGGGGTTCTACTCCTAGGGCTCTTGTGTTCTCTTTAGCCAATGTCATTCTCTTCCTTTTGGCTTCAACAATCTAAATAAGTAGTTTTTGAAACTTCCTAGTCTCTAAGAGGATTAAAGGTGTCAAGAAGCTCTGGGAACATGATTCTTCCACTTCATTCCCCAACCTCAAAATCAGCTCTTCATCTGTATTCTCTGTCTTAACTGACAGCACCTTCATTAACCTAGGTGCACAAGTTAGGATCATCCTGGACCCCTCTTTTTTTACCCTCACCATTCAAATGGTCATTAAGCTGTACCAATTTTACCTCCTAAATAGTCCCTGAGCCTGGTAATTTCTCTACCTCCACTGCCGGAGATTGCCTAATTCAGTTGCCTGAATCCAATAGCCTTCCTAATGGGTTTCTACTTTGACGCCTCCAATCCATTCTCTACAAGGCAGTTGTATAATCTTTCTAAAATAAAATAATAATTGTCATCCCCTATTTAAAATCCTTTAGTGTTTCCTCACTGTGTTTAGAATAAAATGCAAACTCCTTGGCATGAGCAGAATTCTTCATGATCCATCTGTTTTCCTCTCAGACCTCATCTCTCAACACTGCCCTTTTATGTCTGCACTCTAGTCATGCAAGCTATCTTCAGATTCCAGAACATGATATATTTGCTCATGATTCTACAACTAGGTACAATCTCCTATCTCTCCTAGGATATCGTCTCCCTGTTTGGGGTAGCTAACCCATGATGCAGATCGAGTGACACTTCAGAAAGTTCTCCTCACTTCCCCATCATCAGTTTGGGTGGGCTACTCTAACTATTTTCATAATGCCACGTTCAGATATCTATCACAGCCTTCATCTCATTTTATTGTAATCACTGATTTATTTTGTAATCTCTCTCTTCCTCCACTTGATATTCTTCCCATCACCTAGCGATTTTATACATAATAAGAGACAGGATGGTTCAGTGGAAAAGGCATAGGACTTTACTTGGGTTCAAGTCCTACCTCTGTCTTTTATTAGCTCTATGATGTTTGCTAAGAAGCAAAGCCGAATAAAACTACGACGCAGAAGGACAGGAATTCATGCAATCACTTTGTGATTTTGAACGTATAGTTTTACTTTTGAAGTCTGCTTCATTCGTACAACAGGTGTTAGACTAAATGATCTCCAAAGTGCCTTTTGATTCTAGGACCTTATGGCTATGATTATCAGCAGTATCCCAGGTAACAGAAAATCTAAAGGTCTCTGAGAGTCATGCAAATATAGTATCGTAAATATTCGAAACTGAAGGACTGAAGTAAACTGTCAGGTTACTTAATTGCACAGATTATTTTCAAAGTCCACTGGAATTTTTCAGATTTTATTTTCTTTCACCTAGAAAAGGATAAGAAAAAAATTCTGCTAGATATCAGTAAAAATATAACTCTCTTTTAGCATCTGATTTCAGGAGAAATACTGTATAATGTTATTTTTCCTGAATTGTTCTCAGTTCACGCAGTTTCACTCCCATGAACTCCTACAACATTCTCCCTCTGAAGAGGAAGGTCTTTCTTATAAAGCATCAGCACTGATTTTTGTCTCTGGAAGGTAGAGATCAAACAGTAACTTTCACTCACAATACCTGGAAAGAATACATCATCCTCAAGATAAATACAAATAAAATAAAATTTATGGCACTTTAAACAACAAAAAAGTCTGACCTTGAGCAGTAACAGTTCATTCTTTCCCTCCTTTCAAGGCCTCTTTCTCCATTCAAGGCCTCAAGATAAGCAGCAAAGTAGGCAGAAGAAAGTTTTGTATATTCCAGTCAAAATTGTAAAAAGAGGAAACTATACATGTCAATATGTTATGAGTGATTGCCCTGAGTACAGCAAGTAGATATCTCTCAATTCTAAAATAATGATAAGAATCATGCCATTATTATTTATAGCATATTTTATTTCACAGAATTGTTTTCTGATCCTCATAATAATACTGTGAGATAGTCAGAGAGGATGTTATCTCCACTTGACAGATGAAGAAACTCAGGTGTGTGAACATGCCAAGCCACAGTTTTAAAATGTCAGAGCTGAAACTATTATCATGTCTTATTAATTTATGTATCACCAAAATCCAGCATTTAGTGGATACTTAGTAAACATGTGACAGATGAATTAATCTAAATTTTCTGGTTCCTAGAGTCCAATAATCTTTTTATTAGTAGTTTTACTAATTCTGTTCTAATTGCTAGGATAGGTTTGTATCTGAGTCAAATAAAATTACTAACACCAAATCAACAATGCTACTTAATTGTGCAATTTAGGTAGCCAGACTTCCTGGGATGAAAACATAAGCAGAATTGTTTTAGTTCGCTATCTTTTCACCTACACATTTCATAGGAATATATGTAAGATTACCTAATTGGATAGAATACTCAAAGGAAATAAAGCTATAGGCAAGTACATATTAATATAATTAGCATAAAGTGAATACTCAAATGTTGCAACTATGATATAGGTTTTAAATAATCAAAAATAGTTTACCTGTGGTGCAAGAAGAGGTAGCCTAATATAAGCCAAAAGTTTACTGAGATCTTTCCGTCTTTGTTCCAAATCATGACGGACCCAAGTAAGAAGGGCATTCAATATTGTCTCTTCGTTAGGAATGTTCATGTCATCACTGGCCAAGAGCTTTGCAATTTCACTGGCTGGTAATAATACAAATTCTTGATTTCGAATGACTTCCATGAAATGCTCCTAGAGGGAAAAAAAATAGCTTATAAACAATATTGTTCCTTTTGGCCATCACAATTTATTTCAAAGAAAGTAAAAGTTTTTTTAATTAGATGCCAAAACAGTTTATACTTTAGGCCTTTCTTACAATGTGTTACTGCTTGCTAGGGGAAAAAAAAAACAGTAGAAAATAACCTTTAAACTACAATTATGTTGTTAAACTTTTTATTTCTATATAAGTAAAATTAAAGTGTGATATCATTTATTACATTTTTAAACTGGACCTGGGACTTGTAGGTATTGCTTGCGCAAATTAGGGAATAGTGTTGACAAGTCTTTCAAAGGAAGATAGAAAAAGTGAATTAGACACTGAGATGTACGATACTCTAACATCAGAAGTTAGTTTAGATGTGTGGTTGCGGAAGAATTTGACCAACAGTGGAGCCAAATACCTGGGTGAGCCATGAAGTTATTTCTCTTACCCAGAAATGGCCTCCAGGTTGGCTAGATTTCCCAAAACCATTTTGGACCAAAGAAGTCTTCTCAGACTCTTCCTGGCAAGAGAACACGTCCTTAGGGCTATCCTAGAACCAAACTGGTCTTTAAAAGGGTTTAATGTTATCTATAAGATCCCCCAGGATTCAAGTCCATTTCGAAAACTTTAATCTCTTCTAATATGATTTGCATGCAAAGTTCTTTAGGTCTCATAGGAAAAAGAGCCAAAGCAAAAGTGTTGACCCATGCACTGGGAATCCAGGAGCTTAGACTGAAGATGACTCAGTCCTGGCCACATACTAGAATAAGGTCCCTTATAATTTTAAATGGGAGAGAGAAATGCCCTTAAGATGTGACATAATAACCTTTAGTAGGCTATTATGCTAAACAATCTGAAGAGAAAGTAAACTTACTTTCTGGTGTGCAAGGTTACAAGTCTTAATGCAGGCATTGTTTACATAGTTATAATATAAATGCAAATGCTAGACATATTGTCCCTTACTGTCTTTCTTATACTTCCTAATGTGCTATGGCTGTCTCAGCATATGGAGTTTCAGTAAAATAGCTAAGGCTGTTTAAATTAGAGCTAGAGATAAGGACTATCAATAATTATCTTCCATATTAAAACGAGAATTGTATTTTCCATATAGTCTGCAGTAACCTAAGTTAGGTACTGATCTAAAATATATCTTGGATTGATATTTCTTTTTGCAGAAATTCTTAAGAGGAAAACCATACATGAATAATTAACTAAATTCAATTGCTTCAATTCATCATAATTTGTTAAAGATGTCAAAATGAATCTATTTTAAATGACTGATTATCATTTTCGGGAATATATTTTAATAAAACCCCAATGTGGGAATGGCTTGGAGCAAACTCTTCTACTCAGTTGTATACTGACATTATAAAATGATCTGATAACACATAACAAGAACTATAAAAATGTTGAAGCTCTCAACCTAGCTATCCCACTAGTAGTTTAATCCTTATAAATAATTCACAAAAGGGAAAAAAAAGCAGATGCTTCTCTGTATTATTATTTATAATGATAAAAAATGAGAAATAGTAAAAAATGAGAATTATAGGGGGTTGTAACTCAATGGACTATTAAGCAGACGTTAAAAATTTCAAGGACAGAGGCTAGCCTGGTCGTGTAGTGGTTAAGTTAGTGTGCTCTGCTCTGGTGGCCTGGGGTTTGCCGGTTCGGATCCTGGGCATGGACCTATATGCTGCTCATTAAGCCATGCTGTGGTAGCATCCCACATACAAAATAGAGGAAGATTGGCATGGATGTTAGCTCAGCAACAATCTTCCTCACAGAAAAACATATATATATTATTAAAAAAAATTTCAAGGACAAAGATCAAACAGATACATGGAAAGATATTTATTATATAACATTAAGTGAGATTCAGAAGAAATCAAAATAATATATATTTCTAATTGCTCAAAGGTATAGTGTATAGTATTATCAACACAGACACAACACTGATGTAACTATCGCCAGACTTTTAAATGTTGTTAATTGCATTTCACCAATGAGAAAAGGACTAATAAATAAATATTCATTTGATTAATTGTTTATTTGTTGATATATCTATTTCAGAACAATGCCCATTCCATTCTAGTAATAATTGTGGTAAAATTCTAGTAAGAATAATTCATATTAAGTGAAAATCAAATTTTTCAACAACTTATGGAAATACTACTGAACTCAAGGTTGAACACAAAGTGCCTTCCAAAAGTATTAATTTGGTTTTGAAGCATGTATTGTAGCAGAATTCAATGTTTTTATAAGTTTTCTAATCAAGAAACAAAATTAAAAAATTTTAAATTAAATGTTTATGTATTTTTTATAAACCCATAAAGACATTAAATATTTGTAATGACATAACCAGTCTTAGACTCTTGTAGAGGTTAAATGACTTCCTCCAGGTCACATTCAGTGGCAGTCAAAACAAGAACAAGAGTTTCCAGACTTCCGGATTACAAGAAGGACCTCCTCATCCTTTCCTACTTGTATTCATGCAGGATGAGCAAACATCCCAAGTACATGCGCCATTTAGTGATTGTGACAATTGAATTCACTGTGCGGCGTTATGCTTACTTCATATTTTAAATCCATTTTATGATACAAACAGCTATCGTGCTACCAAACACCTCCTAGCATTATGGCCTGTCCCCCTTTGGAATAGTTCTTAAGCAAACGAAATTACTGAGGGATTTATCTAAATCAAAGATTGAACTTTGCTATACATTGTCATTCAGTTCCCATAGCAACAATTCAAATCACACAATCTGCCTGTAAACTACTTATTGTTATTAGAATTCAATTTCGTGTCTCTGTTGAAACTGAATAATGTCAAATAATGGCCTTGAGAAGAAAAAAAAAAAACTACCACAACTAATTGGCTATGAAAATAGCTTTAAAAACATTAAGCTAATTTAATTTATGTCTAAGCCTTAATGCAGCAATTGTGCCCTTACTGTAAACACTAAGAGTGACCTAACTGCATACAAATATTTTCATGGGAATAAAACTCCTTCCTAGGAAAGAGATATTACTTAAATTATGAACTGATTACCAAGGGGAAAAAAATCCAGCTTTATTTTACTTATATTCATCTTATTCCAAAAGGTAGTTGAACTTGAGGTTAAAATGAGAAATCTACAAGGAAGGATAAAGACAGGGGGAAAAAGTCCTTTCAAAGAACTTAATTTAAAAGATGCTAATCTAGTACCATGCTGGGTCTGTACAGTATTGCCCTGTCATACAATGTCCATTTTATCACTTGAAGCACTTTGACCATCATAAACAAACATTTCTGAGGAGTGATTACACTACAGGGAGAAAAACAAATCATAAAGGCTCTGCTTTTGTATGAGTGCTTTTGTTCACTCACATAAATCCCTCCTGTGTTGAACAGAGTAACCTCTATGATGATGGTGACAATGATGGTATCATTTATTGACTGGGTATACTACGTGTCAATCACTGTTCTAAAGTGCTAAACTTCTAGCTCATTTAGTGCTCACATCAAGCTCGTGAAATAGGTAGAATTAATCTTCCCAATAGTTGTAAACATTTATTCTTATAATTTTTCCAAATCTCTATTTCTCTAGTGAAAGATTCCTAAAGAACTTATCAATCCCTTCGCAGACAAACAAACTCAATGGAAGGTTGGGGGGTGGAGGAGAGGTAGACAAAAAAAAATCTCCTAAATGTTGATAAAATTAGTAATATGAGTAACTGTATACGTGTATGTGAATGTTCACACTCCTTTTTCTCTTAGAAGCTGTATTCCTAATTGAAGTATTTAAAGCAATAGTCTTCAGTCATGGCCCATCTGTAATGTAGCAAGATGGTCATTCCTTAAAAATCCACACACACTCTCCCTTTCCTGAATCCCTCTACTATTAAGACTGTGGAGGCTGGTCCTAACAATATGCCTTCAACATGCCCTTATGTTCTTGCTGTCTAGATCAATCTGATCCATTATCCTTCAGGATTCTGAATCAGAACCCCCTCTGCAATTTATTTTGAGAACATAATTCACCATAACTAATAAAATATTGTTCTACATAGCTAAAAACACTTCTTACATAAACTCAAATTTATCCTTAATAAAAAAACCCTCCCTTTCATCCTCCTATCTTCTGTACTAGTACTGTACCAATACGCTACAATCACGATTATCAATTTCCATCAGTGATTATGTGGACAACTCTGAAATTCATCCAGGTGCAACAAACAAAATGTTTGGGGGAAATCCTGCTTTAAAAAGCAGCAGATCTGCAAATTGTGACCGGAACAGTCCTAGGCCACTGCTCTGCTTCTTAGTGACTATCATTGCTTTAAGGCTTGACTCATATATGCAGAAGAAATATTACTTGGTGTTTTTCCCTCATAACTCAGTGACAATATGACACACAAGACAGCAAGCCTGAACCTCAAGACATGTGAAAATAGCATGCCATGGGAAAATAGCAACATGTAGATAAGCCGCAACAATAAGGAAGAAGGAAAGAGCATATGCCTTCATGCTTTTCAAAAAATACATACCATAGTATAATTGTGAGCCACTTTATGCAAATCTGTACAACCTTGGGCATCAGCAAAAGAACGGATTCCAAGACAGTTGGATGGGTGAAGCTGTTTCATTAAAAACTTACAGCATGCTTCCACAACCTGTGAAAGCTGAAGAAGGCAGGCTGTAGACAACAGGCACTCAATATTATCTTCTTTTAATTCAAGGCGGCCTTAATGAGAAAAAGAAATTCCATTAACTATGAAATTATATTAATCTTAGTTTATAAAATAATTGGTGTTAACAGTAGTAATTCTAAATAAGAGCTCATTACATGTGTTCCAGACCTAGATGATTTAAAGACATTCTAAAAAGAAAAAAAAAAGTACTAAGTATGAAAAAAATATTAGCTTTTTGTGACTTCTACTAACATAAAAAACTAATAACTTATTTTCAGAATCTTTAAAGAATGCCTTAATTAGTAACATATCTTATACAGAACTTTCAAATTTTAAATGCAATAATTTTAAAACATTATACAATTCCTCTAGTTATTATATTAACATTTAAAATATCATTCAAAACCTTAATTATGATAATGATTTTAAAGGTCGTAATATAGAGATTTTAACCTATGTAGGTATCACCAGGTGTGGTGATTACAATAACAGAATTAACTATTAGCTGAGGCAGGCTTTATTAAAAGGAGAAATCTGAAATCTAATAACATAACATAAATCTAAGAGGTTTCAAATTTACATTTTCAGATTTATTACCTGTATATGCATACTGAATCAAGGACCATAGTGAATTCGGTTCTACACCTTCCATTTTTATTTCTTCTTGTCTTGCTTCCCTGACATCATTAGTAAACATGGCAGCAAAATAATCTGAGACAGAGGAGAGCACCAATCTGAGAACATATTAGAAGGAAAAAAAATCAATGACCACATTAAAGTTGATGTTGATTAATAAATGCTGCTGCTTCTCTCTCTCTGTCTCTCTCTCTTTTTTTTTAGCTTCGTCACCCATAGAAAGTACATGGTACTGCGAAACGCATTTTAAGTTTGACAAATTGCTTTATGTTCTAGTTCCTTCCTTTGAATAATAAATTACCATTACTGAAAATTTTCTGCTGAGGTAAATGATTTACCCATTCACCACTCAAGTACCACTTTATAAGACCGAGAAAAAAAGCCACAAGCCCACAGCACTAAACTGATTATATTTAAAAAAGGAAAAAAACGTAAAAGTTATTTTCTGTTTATCACTTTTCTTTCTTTTTTTTTTTTTGTGAGGAAGATCGGCCCTGAGCTAACATCTGTTGCCAATCTTCCTCTTTTTGCATGAGGAAGATTGTTGCTGAGCTAACATCTGTGCCAATCTTCCTCTACTTTGTATGTGGGATGCTGTCATAGCATGGCTTGATGAGCAGTGTGTAGATCTGTGCCCAAGATCCAAACCCGTGAACTCTGGGCCATCGAAGTGGAGCATGCGAACTTAACCACTACGCCACCGGTGGGATAGCCCCATATTTTCTGTTTATCACTTTTGAAAATAACAAGTTATTTTTAAAAGTTTAATTGTAGAAGTAGTGAATATATGGGAGATATTTGAGAATGGTTTTAGCAGTTATTTTTAGTTTTCATAATTTTTTATTATAATATATTATCATGTTTGTATTTTGTTATAAAATGATATTTTTGTGATCACACTATAATATTTAGTTACAATAATACACAATTATATATTAGCTATGACTCTGTCCAGATTTTGATAGTCACATACAAACAAAAATAGGTTATAAATATATATATATTTTGAAACATGCATTTTTCATTTGATAATATATCTTGAAGATATTTCCATGTCAGCACACTTATATAGATTTACTTCATTCATTTTTTTAAAAGAAAGAGAAATTAGGATTCAGACAATAGTCGAAGCTCCCTCTCTCGTTCCATTCTCCTCCCTCCCCAGGAGTGCTTGCTGAGTCCTAAGGTTTGCCAAATTGCTCTCCAAAGTGACGTGCCAATTTAGGCCCCACCAGCACTGCATAAGAGTTAACAGTACCCCACAATATTGTTAAAATTTTTGGCTATCTGCAACATGTTAAATGGTATCTCATTGTTGTTTTAATTTTCATTCACCTGGTAGTTGGTGAGGATGAATATCTTTTCAAACATTTATTGCCATTCAGCTTTCTTCTCCTGAGAACTGCCTGTTCATTCATTTATTCACTCAACAAATATTAACGTGCACCTAATAAGTACTGGGCTCTGTTGTAGATACTTGAGATATACTGGTGTAAAAAAAAGTCAAAAGATCCCTTCTCTCACGGAGTCTTACATTCTAGAGTGAAGAGAGACAGACAATGCACAGCACAAGAAAATTCTATAGTACATTAAAAAGTGGTAAGTGCCATGGGGAAAAAAGCAGGGTAAGGGCAAATGGGGTGTGAGGGGAGGGTTTAAATAGGTGGTCTCACTGGAAGGTGACATGTGGGCAAAGACTTGAAGGAGGTGGAATTAGTCCTACAGGTATCTGGGAACAGCATTTGGGCAGAAGGAGCAGCCAATGCAAAAACCCAAAGGCAGGAGCAGCATGCCTGGCACATACAAGGAACGACAAGAGGGTCTGTGTGGCTCAAGAAGAGTGAGCAAGGAGAGCAGTAGGACAGAATGTGAAAGAGGTAATGGCAGGCTGGATCACACGGGCCACTGTGAGGACGGAGCTTTCCCACTCAGTGGCATGAGGAGTCACTGAAAAGCTTGATGAGAGGAGTGCCTGGACGTGAGTTCTATTTTAAAGGATCCCTTGGGCAGCTGTGTAGAAAACAGAATGTAGGGGAAAAGAGGGAAAGCAGGGAGACAGGTTAGGAGCTGCTTGCACTGGCAACCTAAGTGAGACGGTAATGGCTTGCATAAGCATGGCAGGTAAAGTAATTAATTCTGTTTTAGAAATACAGAATTGGAGAGGCCTCTAAGAAATTCAGGTTGAAATATCTTTTCTAATAAACCCATGCTCATAGGCAGACTTTTTGTCATAGTATATAGTGGCATCTCAATAAATGCATGCTGACTGAGTCACTGAAAACTATAAGACCAAGCCCATTCTTCCTGATTTTACTTCCGCTTTGGAAGGTTTAACAAAACCTTTGGGAGAGAGTGTTAATTAGGTTTGAAAGGCATAAAAAAACCTTTGGGATCATAATGGTGATTAACATTGAATAACTGAATATGGAATTATTAGAAGAAAAATAATGAATTGTTCTTTATTAAACAGCTCTCTTTTCCTTTTCTTACTTCAAGAAATAATATTTCATTTATGTTAATGGCTTTTGTTTCCTAGCACCAGCACTTTTCATGTTTCCTGGAGGTCAGCAAACAGAGTCCAGGATAGATGTGCCTATTTTAAAACTCTTAACAGTTTTGCCACTCCATTCCACCAGCTTTTTTGCTTCTAAATACTCACAGCTCTAATTTCCATTAAGTTTATTTAAAGTTCTCTAATCGGCAGAATTAGGCGGGGTGAAAGCTGCTTATAGTAACTGAAATCTATACCAAACAATGCTGACTGATCTGAGGCGAGTGTTTGTTTTTGTGCTTCTCCAAAGGGCAAGTGACACTTTTGGGGTCATTTAATGTGTAATAATTACATACACACTGTTTTCTTTGCAAAAATTCCATGAAATATCTCCCTTCCCCAAAACATTCCATCCTAACAGTCAGTTGGAATGAGTTACCTCAACATACATAACTAAATTATCAAGGAAATATTTCACACATAGAGATACTTAGAAAACAATTACCTATGAGCAGGAATTCTGCGATCACCAGCAACTAGAATTACATCACACAACTGTTTATGTCTCAAATAGTTTTCCATCTTTTTAAATGTTTGCTCAGCATGATTAAGGGCCTGGAAAAATTCATCTGATGAACATGGCTCCATAGTATGGCAGGATGATAATGTCTGACTGCTGTTGGAAGTCCTGAAAAGAAAGAGAACACACATTTTGAAATATCACTGTCACATTAAAAAGATCTTTCCTATCAAGTCTCTCAAAGCCTTCAAATGAAATAGAAGTAATCAATGCTACCAGTCAATATTAATGTATAATCATTCATCATTTTTGCCTTTTAAAATCAATGATGGCGCAGATCATATGTGCATCTTGCAAACATTGTGAGTGAATGTGACATCTGTTAGTTAAGAGCTACACAGATTCTTTGTAATATATGTGTTTGAAGTCTCTTCTCTGGTCAATACAACATCTCTGCTGAAAAAGAGCCAAACTATATTCATATTGATAGCCATATCTCCTAACATTATATTTAAGGGTACAAGAGAACATTTTTTGAAGGTAGGAGGTAATTAAACTATTTTGGAGATATAAATCCAAGGCCTCCTTTAGTTAAAAATGGGGTATGTTCCACAGTTCACTTATAAGATAACTGTTCAGAATACACAATATATTGTCATAAAAGCAGTGTTATAAATAATTCATTTGATTCTCTGGCCAATCTTTAAAAGCTCAGGTAACCTATAGCTTATATCACAGGTTAAAGGAATTTGATAGCCTAATTCAGTTATCTAAAAATTTTTTGAAATTTCCAAATTATTTGAAGAACACGAGTTCTAGGTTTTCATATGCTTTATGATGCAAATGATGAAAAAGTGAAAAGATTAGGACTAAGAATAAAATCCTAAATCCATCCCTCCCCTCCCCATCCCCCAAGATCTCTTCTCCAAGATTACCTGAATCAAATGATAAACCTCTGTTAGTTATGCAGTTAACCACAATACCACCAACTGTGCCATAACTTAGTTCTCATTTCTCATCAGATCTACTTGTAAGGATGTTATGATTCTGACAAATGCTTTGTTGAATCAAGCCTCACTATACCTTAAGAGAATTTTCTTAATATAAATATCTAATAACCTTATTTGGTAATAACCTTATCAAAGAAGAAAAAGTCATTGGATCTTCTGCTTTTAAAGTAAAGGGAACTGAAGCCAAGGAGATTAAGTGCCTTGCCAGGAGCCCTAGGAGGTCGTTCACGGCAGAAATAGGGCTGCTGTAGAGATTGCTGTGTGTTCACCAAAACTCTTTTTCTTTTTCTCCTGAGAATGTAGCTAGACTTTTTTTCCCAGCCTCTCCCACAGGCAGGTGTGGTCTTATGAAGGAAATGAACTGTGTCACCTGTAGGCTAAAGTGGCCAAAAGTATGCCTTCCCTGTTCCTTCTCTATCCACAAGTTGAATGGAGAGGACTGAGGCTTTAGATGAAAGAAGAGATGAAATGCGCACATGGAAGGTCACTCAAGTAAGAACACTCACATATACTATACTCACAAGACCTCTCATAGTGGATTGAGATTTATCAGTTTCTAGGAGGTTAGCAGTGCCGTGACTAATACATATCTCTACCTAAATCCTCCCAGCCCAGCCCAATGCATTTTCAGTGCCATAGCAATCTAAGCTCTGAAAACATGTTCTTGAAAACTAATTGTCAGTAATGATAACATAAGAAAAATATATATTATCTAGAAGAAATGTATTGTACACTATGAATATTATTGGTGAAATGACTTGGAAAATCCAGTATAATATACTTAACTTGACATTAAGATCATTAATATAAAAATGTATTGAGTAATATGTAACTATATGTTGCTTATATAAGTAAACGAGAGCTGGAAACTATTTTAAAATCAGGAGGAACTACAAGCAAAAACAAATAACATTGGCTTTGATTAATAACAATTTGAAGATTAAAAACATTTTTCAATAATTAAAGTTTTATATTTTCAAAATACTGACAAATGATTTAGTATTAGTGATCCAATGATGAGACAACATTAGAACATCTAATTTTATTTATTTATTTATTTATTTATTTATTTTGAGGAAGATTAGCCCTGAGCTAACATCTTCTCTTTTTGCTGAGGAAGACTGGCCCTGAGCTCACATCCATGCCCATCTTCCTCTACTTTACATGTGGGACACCTACCACGGCATGACTTGCCAAGGAGTGCCATGTCCGCACCCGGGATCTGAACCAGTGAACCCCAGGCCACCAAAGCAGAACGTGTGCACTTAACTGCTGCGCCACTAGGCCGGCCCCTAGAACATTTAATTTTTATAAGCCACAAATTCTTTCAGGAACAAGATAAAGCAAGGTAAATAAACCAAATACTTTTTTCTTAGGGTTCCCATATTTTGTATCACATTTCTTATACTTTATATTAAATTCTCAGTAATGACTAGGCAATGAGTTAGTTGAATGTTTTTTGAGTAATGGATTGCCATCATCCAAACCTAAATGCTAATCAATGTTAAATTTTGAAAGAACAACAGAACTTTATAATACTATCATCACTAAGCTATTACAAGCTAGCTTTGATGTTGGTATAAGCTCAATTAATAAACAGACTATCTCTTTTCTTGTCAGGAAGGTTCAGGGTGTTTAGTTCTTCAACCTCTGGCAGGAATCAGGATAACCTGGGAGCATGTCAGCATCTGTGTTCAAGGTCTTCTTCCCTAAGATTGAACCAGTAGGCCTGAGGGGAGACTTGAACACAGTATCTTTTAAAAGTCCTATGGGCGATGCTAACAGGTATCACAGGCTGAAGACCACTGGAGTGCACTTTAGGCAAGAGATGGACACAGTACACAAATCAGCATGTGATGAACTTACAGGTTCAAAACATTGATTTACACAATAGATACTTTACTCCTGAATTTCTTTGAATAAACTGAATTTCTTTGAATAAAATATTTTAAATGAACTAGTAGAACTTAATGGAATATTTATTTTCAAAATGAGCATAAACGTAAAACACCAAAATTGTTTATATACATACATATTAACAAAACGACAATTTATGCTTCTAAAATAACACTTCAAACTTCTTGATTTGCTTTCTAGGCTTCAATTGCCATTACTGAAAACATGCTAAAAACATGCCATGTTAAAAAAACACATTATTTCAATGTGATAATTAATTCACCGACATTTCTGGGTACAGCAATCACTTCCACTGCTCCAAAGGAAGGATCTGACTTGTAGCCTCTGGAAAAGCGAAGCCATCCGCTCACAAAAAGAACAGGAAAGAGGAAAGAACAGAGCTACTCAGACTTGAACAGCCGCACAGCTTTCTAGCATTTCTTGTTTTGTTTGATTTTTAAGAAATTTGGGACTTCGCACATATAATTTTAATAATGTAAGAATTTAATGAGAAAAAAAGAATTTACTGCATATTCATACAAGTACAGGACCTTAGATATTAGAACAACTATATACAGAATTTTTACATCTAGAAGCAATCTATGCAATCATTTAATTCAACTCCCTTATTTTGCAGATAAGAAAATTTGAGGCCCAAAACGGCCAAAGTGATCAACCAAGGACATATAGGCAGCCAGTTACAAAGCCAGGATCAGAAGGCATTCAGAGTATTGGTCAAACCACCCACCACAAAGGAATGGAAATTCTTGCTTGCCTTTACCCCAAGGCATTAGTGAGTGCAAGGACTAGGGGTGTGAAGGGAGAATGACAGCACAGTATGAATGAGGACATCTTAACAGAAAAAAGATGTTAGAACTAAGGATCTTAGATAAAAGTCTACTGCTATGTGACTGCCCCTTAGCTAGATGTGAGAGAGCAAGAGTCTCTTAGGTTTCCGTGAGACAGAGATCACACCTCTATCAGTGGTTAATTAAATGCTTTTAATATTCTGGCTCTGTGTAATTTACAATGTTAATACTTCCTTACTATTTCATTTCCTATTATGTGTTTTGGTTTGGAGGGTTGAACTGGAGAGGTACAGTGTAGTGATTAAGAGCATTTTAGGAAGGTTTTAGAGCCATGTTGTCCAATACAGTAGCCACTATGTCCATGGGGATATTTTAATTAAAATGAAAGAAAGTAAAAGTTCAGTTATTTAGTTGGACTAATCATATTTCAAATGCTCAACAGCCCCATGGGGCTGGTGGCTGCCAAACTGGATGGTGCAGATATAGAACATTTCTATCAATGCAGAAAGTTCTATCGCATAATGCTGATTCAACTCTGTCACTACGTATCATTCTAGACAAGTTATTTAACTTGTCTGAACCATACCTTTTCCAATAGCAAGACAGGAATAAGCAATACGTAGCACTTTCTTTTAGAGGATCTCTCATGGGAAGATTATTAAATGGAAAAATGAATGCATACCCCTAGCACAGAATAAATACACAATCAAGGTGAGCTATTGTTAGTAGAACCTTGCTTTTCAATGACCGATGGGAAGTCTTTGTCTTTATATGATGTTTCTCTTTTTAAAAAAATGATCCCTAGGGCCGGCCTGGTGGTGCAGCAGTTAAGTGAGCACATTCTGCTTCGGTGGCCCGGGGTTCCCTGTTTTGGATCCCGGGTGCAGACATGGCAATGCTTGGCAAGCCATGCTGTGGTAGGCGTCCCGTATAAAAAGTAGAGGAAGATGGGCATGGATATTAGTTCAGGGCCAGTCTTCCTCAGCAAAAAGAGGAGGATTGGCAGCAAATGTTAGCTCAGGGCTAATCTTCCTAAAAAAAAAAAAAAAATCCCCAGCATTATCAATTTTTATAACTAAATTTCATACTTGCTCATTAACATGGCCTTTATTAAACCTTAGACATCCTAACCCACAACACAAACATCTGGGAATAGGCTATTTATGGACTATTTAAAATATATTTCTCTGTGATTTCTACTTGATCTTTTACAAGATAACAGAGGAAATACATCTGACATCTCTGCTTAGTTTTATTTATCTGATGTTGCTAAGATGGTAAACCACATTTCAAAGAATTGCACGACATCATTCAAATCTTTTTTTAATAGATGTTCGCAGTAATGAACTCTACATTGCTAATATTTCCAGGCTACAGGGAAACATTTAATTTTTAGCTTATTGTCCTTCTGCAGTAGGCAACTGTATTTGTAAGTCAGAAAAACACCTAAACATGGGAAGAGGCAAGTATCAAACAAATCAAGTCATCAACTATTTACAGAGTAAGTCCTAACATGCAACGTTGCACCAGTTGTTAGAAACTGTGGGGACGCAAAGAAAGATATGATTCTTTAGTGAAGGGACTTGGAATTTGAAGAATGGAGTTTCATAAACTGGAAAAAATTAAACAACACCGCCTAACACTTGCAGTTCCTCAGATTTCACATGTATACGCACATGTGCATATGCACACAATACGCACCATGATCAATATTACTTTTTTATTATAAACTACTTAGATTTCTTCACTTTCATCACCAGAACTTGCATTAGGCTTTCTTAATGGAGTAATTTTTCAAAAGAAGTTTTAAAAATCACTTTACAAGAATTATACTGTAGTATACGGTTTTGAGTAGAAAATAAAGCTGCATTGAAACTCTAAATAGTCTGTTTGGCTCACTCCCTAGGTAAGTGATTTATTCCTAGCCACCTGCCTCGTAGCTTCTGGCATTCAGAATTCATGCTTTTGCAAAAGTGCAAATTACTATATCATGAATCTCTTGGCATCTTTTACAAATATTCAAAATCATAAATGTAAAATAAGAATGTAAATTGCTTAGTATAGGCTAGCGGTCTCTAAATTTTTTTATGCAAACGCATTTCAGCATGCTTTTAAGCATATGCCCAATTATACAGATATTTACTAACTTATAAAACATATATACCATTGTAGAATTATTATACTATAAAACAGAAAAAATAGATATTTAAAAGATAAAATATAAATAGAAGTTTTAATAAGTAGGTGTGTGTATATATATATTTTTTACCCTTTCTCCAACAGATCATCTTGTACATCCCCAATCGGAGTGTAATTGCTGGTGAAATATAGAGAAAGGAAAGATCAGTCTGGGCTAGTATTTGGAAAGGCAACAAGTAGCAGGTGAGATCTTAGAGTTTAGATGAGTGAAGAGGAAGGGGAGTTGGGGTTGTCCCCTTTAAGGAGAGGAAAAGGCAAGCGTATAAAAAGAAATGACAAGAGGTGATGAAAAAGAATACCTTCACCTTTTCCCTTCTCAAGAGAAATATTTTTTGATTTTGAAATTTAAGGGGTTTTTTTCCTGGTACCGTGGCCAGAATATCTGGGGTGGCCAGAATATCTGGGGTGAAGAGAGTTAAATGTAGTTTATAAGAATCACATTCTCTTAAATAATAACCAGTGAAGGGGAAGGGCCTTGGGCACTCTTATACAATGCTGGTGAGAATTGGAATAGTAGTAATAGTCCTGAAATGACTCTGAGAATACAAATCAAAAACCCTATAAGTGTGCACACCCTTGACACTTTATCCAAAGGAAACAATCATCTGTACCTACGAGACCTAGCTACAGGGAGGGTTTATGACAGGTTATTTCTAACAGAAAAGTACTGGAAACAATCTAAATTCCAAAAAAGAAAAATAGAATATTGGTTAAATAAACAAGACATATATGTGCATATGGGAGAATGCTCTGCCATTTAAAAAGATATAAGAGAACATTTAATGATGTGGAAAGCTGTTTTAGTGGACATTAATTGTTTTTTGCCTATCCAGGATTCCTTCTTATGGGAACAGACCCATCTCTACCTTTTGGGAAACCACACATTCCCTGCCTCAGTCCATATGGCTTGGGTGGAGTTGATCCTCCCACTGGGGAGAGGTGAGCAAGGGACTTGGGCGCGGCCAATAAGAGTATCAAATCTCCTGCAATAATGACTGGCTACAGTGGACACATGATCCAAATAAGGCCAATCACAGTCCATTTCAAGATGCTACTTGGCACTCTTGGAAAAGAGTCACTTTCTTTCCACTGAGGTTGCTAAACTGATAAAAAGTAAACTTGGAGCTGCTAGTGGCTTTTTTGCTACCACACTGACAGCCTGCTGAGACAATGCCATCACAAAGGAAAACAGAATCTAGAGGGAGAAAAATAGATTCCTGGTGTTAAGTATCTGGATAAGGCCATGTCTAAAGCCAGGCTCTATCCTTGGACTTTATTTTTTATTGCGGTAACATTGGTTTATAACATTATATAAATTTCAAGTGTACACCATTATATTTCAATTTCTGTGTATATTACATCATGTTTGGACTTTTAATTTATTTACGTGAACCAAATTTCTAGTTTTTGCTTAAGTCAGTTTGAGTTGGGTTTCTGTTTTTGCAAACAAGAGAGTCCTAATTTTAGTATTTACATTAGGGCAAAAAAGCAGGTTACAAAACAGTATGCACAATAAGCTTCAGATTTTTATTCTAAAAACACATCTTTTTATTATATATGTATAGAAAAACATACTTGAAGGACACTTTCCCAAATTGTTAATGGTTGTTATTTTGGGATGGCAGGGTAATTAGTGAGTTTTATATTTCCATTTTTCCTTATCTCTATTTTCTGATGTCTCTGTGGTAAAATATTATGTAATACAGAAAAAAATTAATTAAAAAATTAGATCCAAAGAATTCTAAGGAGTTCTATTCAGCTGTCTTCATCTCTTGCACCCTGTTGATCGTGATGCCAAAACCATTCTTTACTTCTACCACAGTAACGACTTTTAGCTGGGTACATGGCTACTCAGGTAGAGACTACATTTCTAAGCCTCCCTTGCAACTAGTCATGGCCATGTGACTAAGTTTTCAACAATGGAATGTGAGCAGAACTAATATATGCAACTTGTGTTATTTGCTTAATGTTCCCCCTTTTCTTTCTTTGGTCCTTTCCACAGGCTAGAATGCAGAAGGGGAGCTGAGCAGACTTTGACCATAAAGAAAGGATAACACCCTACAGGATGGAGTAACAATTTGGAAGGAATCTGGGTCTCTGAGTGAACTTGAGAAGCAGACCTACCTATCTGCCCTGGACCATTTGCCCATTTGTTAGCTGATAAAGATATAAACTTCTCTTATTTTAGCCACCATATTTCTGAATCTCTTTGTTATGTCATCTTAGCCTATTCCCTACTAATATACTCCCTAAAGTTAAATGACCAAATTATATGGCTTTGGGCATATGAGTGTTTATGTGGTATGAGTGTGCGTCATTGTTTTCATGCCTAATATATCTAATTCTAAAGATATAATACCTCACTATCCAGCTCCAAATGGATAAAAATAAAATATAAGCAATAAGTGACATAAAGACAGCTTCTTCTGCCTTAAAAAACTGAAGTTTATAAAGGCCAGTTGCGCAACTGTAATGCCTATCCCTTTTTATAAGCTGATTTTTCAGCTTTCCCAGCAGGTGTGGGAACTAAACTCCTACTCTGTTTAAATCAGCCAATTTCAGTTGCTTAAAACTAAGAACTCTGATTGATACAGCACACAGGTAGGCTTTAGGGGGTTCATGAACTCCTTGAACTGTATATAAAATATTTAACATACACATCTACACACACACACAGTGTTTTCTGAGGAGAGGTTCCACAGCTTATGTCAGGGAATCCATATGACTTGGGCATACATATGTGAGGGAGGAAATGCAATACATACTTCCAAGATATAAGTACACTATAGCTGAACTTCTTTGTCATCTCTGGAAACAAAATTTTTTTCATGAGGAAATGCAGAATATTTTAATTTCAAACTGAACTAGAATTAAGAGACTGGTTCAAACAAGGAGATGTAGAGACAACATAAAGAGGGTCAAGAAAAAGGAGACAGCACTTGAGAGAAAATGTAATATTATGAAGATAACCTCTTGCTGGGATAGGAGGGGGAACTAAATGCCTTTAAGATGAGTCAAAGAATAGCAAATCAACTGACCAAGGAATAGAAGAGTTCAAGGATACCTGCTTGAAACAGAGTAGCCAGCAACCAATAAGGTGCTTTAGATAACTAGATAAAGAGTTGTGGCTGTGTCAAAAGACTATACCTGTAAGCCAGCCAGGTTTGGCATTTTCAAGAACCAGGCTAAGAAAATTAGCTGAGGAGAGAAGGTGAAACTGGTTAGAATAAATCATTAACTATTATGTAAATCCAAGTTGAACTCAGGGGTTAAATGAGTAGTCACAGAGAACTGCCTACTGCTATGTGAGGATGAAATCTACATTTTAACTGTTTGGGTTCACAATGTAGCTATTTCCAAGCGATCGAGGTTAGTATCAACAGTGATGATGTGATGTGATATAAATGGCACTTTATCTTTGTGGTCTTCCTCCCCAAAATTCATAGCCCCAGTCTAATCATGAGAAAAACATCAGAAAAATTCTAATTGAGTAAGATTGCCAAGGTCATCAAAACAAGTGAAGCCTGAGAAACGTCAGAGCCCAGAGGAGCGTAAAGAGACAGTATGGCTAAATGTAATGTGGTGTCCTGGATAGGATTCTTCAACAGAAAAAGGACACTGGGTAGAAATTTTAAAAATCTGAATAAACTATGGACTTTACTTAAGAATGTATCAATATTGGTTCATTAATAGTAACAGATGCACTATACTAATGAAAGGTATTAATAATAGGGGAAACTAGGTGTGGAGTACATAGAAATTCACTATACTACCTTCATAATTTTCCTGTGAATCTAAAACTCTTGTAAAAACATAAAGTTTATTTTTTTAATGCAGTTTATTTCACTTACTAACCTTGAGCAAGTTACTTAGCCTTTCTGTGCCTCCCTGGCCTCATCTGTAAAATTATAATAGTAATAGTAGCACTCTAACTCAGAAATTTGTTGTGAAGACTAAATGAGTTAATATACTAAAATGCTAGAACAGGGCCTCACAGATAGTGAGCATCCAGTCAGAATGAGCTATTATTATTTTTGAATATTTTTAAAGTACAGTAATATTTTATACATAATGACTAAAAAATAGTCTTACATATAAAATATTAAACTCTAACTTTATAAACAAAGTTTGAAATAATGAAATTTCCCCTAACATGTCAAAAATTAAATAATTTCAAAGTTGGCAAATCAACGGAAGTGTAAACTGTGTTTAGACTATGGTCACATGCGGGCCACCATGTAAACTTTGCTGGTCTTGGTAAGAATCATCCTGAATTAAGGTCTTAGGAACCCATTGCTCACATAAAAGGTAACAACTCTATTACTTGGGGTCTAAAATTCCTCATAGTGTAAAAAACCAAAAGTTTGCATTTAAATACCAAAGTAATGACTTAGATGATTAGACGACAAAGATGACTTAGATGATTCCCAAGGAGAAAAAGTGGCTAGCTACAGACCCAAGATCAAAGTTAAAAGACAAGAAACTTAAATCACCTAGAAGTGTGGCAGCAGAAATTACCAGAAGTCTAAGGCTCAGGCAGACATTTCTCCCAGTTAGAATACAAGTGATCAAACATATTAGCAACATATGATGCCTTTTAACTTAACTTCTGCTTTAAATTGTGGAGACCCACTGTAGGTGTTATGATTCTGTGTATGTAAAACCACTCAGTTGTCTTCCCCTTTTTCTAATAACTCAAAATTTCAGTCTAAGTTCTAAGATCTATGTAAATATTACGTTTGCTTAAACAAAAATTCTCTGTATATCATATGTATTTCCCCATTATGTCTTTAATATTTTAAGATATCAATCTATAATATAGTCAAATAAAACTTTATTTTATTTGAGCATACTACTTATTTTATTACCTGCAGGTTTTATATAAGAAAAAGAACTGTTCTCAAGTTATATACAAAAATTTGACAAATGTCAGTGTAGCTTCTTTTGACATTAACAGTGATAGTTTTTGATTTGTTTACAGTAGAATGGCAATCCCCTAGAGAGACTGTTCACTTAATCAAAAAGCTGGGGGCAAATAAATGTATCATTATGACAAAGATCAAAGATTCAGAGCTGGAGGATTGAAAGAAGATGTAAGAATTAGATATATTTAATCTAGAAAAAAATGAACATACAAATGACATTTCTAAAATCTAGAATGCTTGTTTTTCCCTTTTTTGCAATAAGATGTTAAGATAGAAATTTCAAACCATTGGGAATGTTAAATCGCTTGGACACATTTCCCCTCATATCTAAAAATCAGAGACATTTTAAGTACATTTTACCTTTGAAATAATATTTTAGGAATAGTTTGGTCACTGCAGATGCTAACTGTTTACTCCCATCTTATTATTTACCTTATTAATCTTGACTAGCATTTTTAAAACAACTATATTTATTTTAGATTTTTAAAAATATAGTTTTCTTAATTTTATATTTCCTATAAATAAAAATGTCCATTTTTTGAAGTATGCACATAGCAATCTCTCAGTCAAAAAAGGGCAGTCTTTTTCTTGCATAATGAATATCCCACCAAGATGCTATTTCAATATGGATACTAAAGAATAGATTAACTTAATTACAGTAATCACCAGCTATGCAAACTACCTTTGTAAATTATAGCGACCAACGTACGTATAACCTTTCCAAGATTTTACATGTATATAAATTTTATACTCATATATACATATATAATCTCTCCAGGTAGTAGATACATGTTAACATTTTTATAACTTATGCTAGTAAATAAACGAATGTTTTGTTTTTCTAATTTTGTTAAAATATTCTCAATACATCATATTGATTTTCAAATGGAAATATGACTACTCTTTGGTTTCCTACAAAAATGATAAACCCTGAACCTTTTACTAGATAAATTATTCTCTTTATGGTAACAAGTCTCCAAAGAAAATAATGAAACCACATTAACTCAATTAATCTCCACTTAAAATTAGTGGCTCTTATTCCCTTTAGACAATGCCAGGTCATGAACTAGTTTGAAAAATTTTAAGTTAAATATACTAGCTACCTATGTAAAGATATTCCCCTCTCTCCATTACACAAATGATTATAGATGACTGGTCTATATTTATTATTATTCCAACACCACAGTTCAGAATTCCATGTTCTGAAGGTTAGAAGAGGAGAAGGTGGTAAACATCCCCAAGTAAGATATACTTGAATATATGAACTCATTTTGTCTCCATCTCTTATGATGCCTCTATTAATAATAACCAAATACAAATTACAAATGTTATTAAAACCTGCAAAGAAATTTTAAAAGAAAAAGAATCCAGCAATCAAACTAGACAAATGATAAGCTAGACAACTAGTAAGCTATTTGTACCTTTAAATATTTTGAAATATTTTTGAGTATAGATAAATCAGAAGGTGACTTTCATGTTCTAACTTATTACATAATATGCTACAGTAGTTTAAACTGATGAATAAGAATATCCATTTCAAAGATAAAGCCAGGTTCCAAGGGTAAAGATGGATAAAGTCATTATGAAATTACCTATTTTTTCTTTATTTTCTCTCCTCAAACTAATTTTCCCTTTTTACCCCCTTTTCACCAGTTGACCACATCTAGTCCCTCTGTGATCCCTTAAACTCTCCTGAAGGAATGTCCCTCCTTTCTCTAAATAGCATAATTTTCAGTGAAGTGCAGGTAACAGAAATTAGTAGCTGTCATCTTTAGAAAGAGACATGTTACTGTATTCTCTGTTTTAATCTGGAGAGCTGCAACATAGGACAAAGAAATCATCATAAGAAAAATATTACTGACAACTACAATGGTATAAAAAAATATGGAGAACTATAATGTACATCTCCTTGTAAAATTTTTCATTTTCATTAAAATTTAAAAATGACTCTATAATCTGTTGCAAACTAAAATGTCATAAAAAATTTTATACTATAGAAATGTCTTCTATAGTTTTGCTATGACTATAAAAGGTAATTCAATGAAGGAAACTGCGAGGCAATGATGCATAAAATTGCTACTATATATTATTTTCCAGGCAGAGCCAGATCTATATATGGAACAGAAGATATTTCAAAATGAATGCTATTTGTTGACTTTATAATTAAACAGAATTAAAATTAATATTAGAATATTTTTAAAAAGCCTAGCAAAAGTACCACAAATGTATACCAAGATATTATATACATGTATGTAACTATATATTTTTATGTATGTATGCATATGATATATTCATAGATTTTAAATAATAATACTAAATTATTTTAAAACATTATAGAGAATATACCCCCACACCCCATTTCTAACAGTAAGAAAATAATCAACCTGCATGAACTGGAATCAGATTCATTTTCTTCTTCACTAGTGCCATCATCCACTTCTGGTCTATCCAGCCAATGTGCACCGCCACAATCTTCTGCTGTAAACTCAAATGCAGGGACTTCAGAGGTGGATGCCATTGGCCAAGAAGGTGAATTCTGAAAATCCAGTTGGCTGGACCTTCGGTAACCAATTGAAGCCAAAGGCAATTGTAGGCTACATGGATCTAAAAACTTTCTCCCACCGTTTGCTCCAGTCTGTCCTCGATTCCAAAATTCTCCCTGCTGGCTGTCAACTGTAGAATTAGGAGATGACGCTTGATGGCCAAACCACCTCCATCTGATTTTCAAAATCTGCTTCACATCAAACTCTTTACGAGAACCAGACATCCTCAGAGAAACCAAGTGATCGTCTAGGCAACGGGCAAAAAGCACTGCACACAGATTTGTGCATCCAACCAAGACAAGTATATGCCCTGCTGTACACAATAAACAGATTGAAAGGAAAATAAATCACATTCGCATATATAGCTACATTTACTTTTATACCAATATACCAGATTATAAAGAACAAAGGATAATGAATAAAGATGAAACACGGTGGAACATTCCATTCAATCAGAGCAAACTCTCATCCACCTATCCTGAAGCAGCTGGACCACTTTCCCCTGCTCTCCTTTCCCATACTGACCATTAGCTCTCACAAACACTGACAGCATTCATTAAAGTCCTTTCAAATGCAGAACACCACCCCCTTTTCTTAAACCACAAATGACAGAGACAGAAAGCACTATCCGTTGCAGTATCTCAGTCTCTGCTGCTTAGTGTATTAACTCTTTTATTGCTGAAACAAGAAATTTATTCCAGAGCATTTTCCTTTGTACTTAAAAATCACTGTAAAACTAAAATGTTTCTATTTTTATACTAAGTTCCTAAATAAGATATTACAAAATGATGTTTTTTAAAATGTAGTTTTTAATTGAATGAGTTATAGTGATTTTGAAGCTGTGCTCTTGGGATGGGGGATGAGGAGGAAGGCAGAGTACAAAGGTGAGGCTTCTGTTTGTTGCTTTCCACTTCTATCTTCTCCCTTCAGGAAAGGACTGCATTTAATTAATATAGTTAAGATCCTGGGTAAGATTTCCTTTGAGCAAAGGATAAGGAAAAGAATAAGGAGAAGAAAAAGTTTGAAAACTACAAAGGATCAAAATACAACAGTACTTACTCTTTTTCAGCTAAATAACCTGAAGCCAATATGGCTCTATAATTAGGACTAGGCCACTTTGATTTAGTATAATATCCAAATTTCTGTAACACACTACTTAGAAAAAGGAAAGTGTGGCTCAAGAAAGCTACCACGGGCTGGGATAGGACTATTTCTAATGGTGCCCTCTATTGTCAGCAAAACAAAACGATGCCCTGAACATGATTACAGTTAAGGCAAATTGATAAGGCAAATAAAAATCAATCAAATTGTAAAATGTTGAGTAGTTATTGTGAGCAAGACACTCTACTAGGCATTGTAGGGGACACAGATAAATACAGCTTGGTTCCCACCCTCAAAAATAATGTCTAGTTACTGCAGCAAAAAATATTCAACAACTCAAATATAAGAAACATCATAAGGTTGCAATATTAACATTTTGTGATCTGCAAATACAGACTTTTGAGTTTTCAGGGTGCTCAATATCTAATGCTATATCAAATATTCCACTCAAAAGAGAATGACTGTTATCAACTGACCAAAAAAAAAACGCTGCTTTGGAGGTTTACAAAAATAAAAAATATTGTGAGGCATATATACTTAACCTCACACAGCTCTTTAGAAGAATACAAATTTAGAGAAACAAGAATGAGAGGCACAAAAAGCCACATATAATTTTGTGCTAAATACTATAGGACAAATCACAAATACCATAAGAAAGAGAAAGGAGATATCAAGATGCTGTGGAGTGGCATGGGCCAGTTTCATTAGGGGGAAGCCTTCTAAGAATGGAAAGAAGTCATGTAGACAGAATGATGATAGATTTTATAAAGGAAGAAAGATACTTTAAAAAGCATGAAGTGAGCACATTGACAAAGAAAGAAGGGGAAATAAGTTTGATCAGCCAGCCAGACATACCTAATTAATTTTAAGGAGTAGTAAGAGAAAGTCAGATGAAAATAATGAGATAAAACTCCTTGAGCACAAAGCTTTACAGATGTAAAGTCTAGCAGGCAATATTAAGTGGACGGTTGAACAGGGCAATGCTTTAAAAAATCAATCTGGCAGTTGTACGCAGGTGCGTTAGAGAGTGAAATGACACTTTTCCCTCTCCTCTCACCTCTGTCAGACTCCTTCTTATCAACTCGCTTCTAACTCCACTCTACCTATCCAACTTTATTTCTATTTTCCAACACAGACACATTGCTTCATCAGTTAAGACAGAATCTACATTATGTCACTCCCTCTTTTATATGTTGTTTGTGTCCCAATTTCTCTGGTTCTAAAATCCTACTCATTCTTCAAGGTTTAGCATAGTCACTACTACCTGTAGAAAGACTTCTCCAATTACTTTAGCCTTGTGGTTCTCAACAAGGGTAGCACCAACGGTCCACTCCCACACCAGAAGCCAAGAAGGCGCCTGGAAGTTGCAGGAGTGGTGGTGGTGGTAGACTTTTAGTGGTTGGAATGACCAGAGAGTGCTATAGGAGTTGAATGGGCAGGGGCCAGAGCTGGTAAACATCTTGCAATGTATAGTACGGACCCACACAATGAAGAACTGCCACTGTGGTAGTTCATAATGATCTTTGATGTCTTCATTCAAATAAGTATTTACCAAGCATTTATATGTACAAGGCCCCACAAAAGAAAGAAAGGTAAATAACAAACCTTTCTTTCAAGAGGTTTTAAACTTGCACTCTGGCAGACATAGGGATAATTAAATGAACATTATAAATGAATAATTTTTTTTTTTTTTGAGGAAGATTAGCCCTGAGCTAACTGCGGCCAATCCTCCTCTTTTTGCTGAGGAAGGCTGGCCCTGAGCTAACATCTGTGCCCATCTTCCTCTACTTTATACGTGGGATGCATGCCACACCATGGCTTGCCACGCCATGCCATGTCCACACCTGGGATCCGAACTGGCAAACCCCGGGCTGCTAAAGCTGAACATGCAAACTTAACTTCTGCACCACCGGGCCGGCCCCTAAATGAATAAATTTTGATAAATACAATTTTATATAAATATAATTTTAAATTGGATTCAATCTATCAATGTGAGAGCAATTATCAGAGATTCTAGTTACAATGTGCTAGCTCCAATAGCTAGAAGTGATTTTAAGTGCTTTTGTTGTTTAGTTGACTAATTGAAGCCTGAACTCAAGAATGGACTTCCTTAAAGGCCACTGAGATGCCAAACATTTCTCAATATAATATAGAGAAGAAATCCAAAGAATGTTAAAATGTCAAACCATGCCTGCACTCCCAAGGGGGCCCAAAGACCCCTTTTACCAAGATATTAAGATATACATTAAATATGAACCTCTTTAATGCAGTAGCTGTTCTGAGGAGGCTAGAGATGCAGATGGGAGATTAGCCACTGAAATAGGCTCCTTGATTCTAAAGGGATACCAGGATCTTGGGTTGGCAAAGGCCAAATAGCAGCATTTAACCATTGCTGTCATGATTATGAGTTTAGTTACATGCACACATACATACGCATTTATATACAAAAAAAAGCATAACCACCTTTTGTTTCAGTGAAATGATACTGCATGTTTTTTTCACTAAGACCTTTATTTTGTCAATCCACTTCCACTCATTCTACCCAGTAATCCACGTTGACAGCTTGGTGTAGTCTTTCATATTTTTCTTCATGTTTATAAAATCACATACAAACATAGTAATTTTTGTTATTGTTTTATAAAAGAGAGATCATATTGTATACATCTTTTTGGCATTTTTGCTTTTTTCACCTAACTTTATACACACACACAGAAATATAAACTAATAATGATTGTTTTAACAGTTGCATAATATTTTATAGTTGTAAAACAATTTATTAAATTATCTCCTTGTTAATGAGCATTCAGGTTGATTTCAGGGTTTTGTTTTTTTTATCCTATTAAAATAATATTGAAAAAAACATCCTTGTGGGGCTTTTATGTCTATGGAATTTATTCCCAGGAGTGGAGTTGCTGGCTTGAAGGTATATGTATTTTAAATTTGAATAGTTTACTTTCCTAAGGCTCACATTTTCAAAAGTAAAGTGAGTGTACCTTTCTCATCTATTTTCATAGGCTCAACAGTCAACGAGTATTATCATTCTTTTAACCAGAGATAACTACTGAGCTTGAGCATATTTTCATAGGTTAATTGACCATATTGACTTAGAGTTTTCTGAACTACTCATTTATACTCTTTGCCTATTTTTCTCTTGAGCTGTTTATCTTTTCCTTAGCACTAACTAGAAGCTCTTTGTATATTATAGATATTAACTCCTAATCCATCTTGTTTTTGCAAATAATTTTTCTATTTTCCAAATGAATAGCAACTAGTGCCTGCACCTTTAAAAACATTTTAAAGTTTGACATATATTAGAAAAGCGTGCAAATCGCAAGTGGAGAGCTCAATGAATTATGAACCCCACCCAGGTTAAGAAAAGGAATATTACCAGCACTCAAGAAGTCTCCCTCATGCCCCTTCTCAAAGGTAACCATCATCCTTAGCATAAATTAATTTTAGCTGCTTTTGAACTTCATATAAATGTATTTTTTTCACGATTGTTTTGATATTAATCTGTATTGTTGTCTGTAGCACCTGATGGTTTTTACGGCTATATAGTATTGCACTGTATAATACACAACTATCAAAATGCATTCTATTGACAGACATTTGAGTTGTTTCTAGTTTTAGACTTTTGCAAATAACGTTGCTATGAACATTCTCATACATGTTGTCTGGTGTACATGTACATGCATTCCTGTTATATATATAGACCCACAAATGAAACTGCTAGATCATAAGATACGCATATGTTCAGCTTTGATTGTTGTTTTCAATTTATACTCCTTACAAGCAGCATATGAGAATTCCAATTACTCCACATGCAGCCAACACTGGTCATCAGTCTAGTTTTAGTCATGCTGATAGGTCTGTAGTGGTATCCCATTTGGTTTCTTTACATTTTTCTGATTATTATCATGGTTGAGTAACTTTTTATGTTTATCTGTCATTTGGATATCCTCTTTGCGAAAAGTCCTTTGTTTAGGTTTCTCGCTCTTTTTTCCTATTAAACTTGTCTATTTTCTCGATTTGTAGGAGTTCTTTATATTTCTAATATGAGCCCTCTATTATCAATATAACTTTAATATAAACCACCCTTTTCCTACTAAATTGAGGTATTATTTTTATTATGAATTAGCTTCCCATACTTACAGAGATCAATTTCAGGATGCTTATTCTGTTCCATGGCCTATTTTTTAT